AAAATGAGGAATATATTCCAAATTTCAATTAAAAATGCTACATTTCCCCAATCAATAAAGGAACAGGCTGTTGTAAAATTCAGGTAAAAGTTAAAATTCTTTCATCAGCACTGACATTATGTGTAGATACCTGGTAGTTAGAACCCTATAACCTCTGTAGTTAGAACCCTATAATCTCTGTAGTTAGAACCCTATAATCTCTGTAGTTATATTAGAACCCTATAACCTCTGCTGTTTAATACAAGGATTTTTTAAGCCTTTCAAACAAAATACAGTATTTATACTTCCTGTTTATTATTTTTCTGTTTTTGCCAAAAAAAAGTGATTAAATAACCCAGAACACAGCCTTGTAGCAGTGTAAGATTTTTCCACAATTACAAACAGCCTTGAACTTAACAATAAATGTAATAAATACAGAATTCTTCTATAGTATGTGGAATGAACATGATTTACTGTGATCCACACGACACTGATGACTAGACAGTCTAGAAATGTACTATACCTGCTAATGTAAACAAACACTATCTAAAATCATTGTTCAGTGAAAATGAAAGATTTAAACAAGTTATCACTGACCAACATCGCCTGTCCCTATTTATATCTCTCTAACATGTGTTAAGGTGAATGTAAGTCACATGATATAATGTATTGGGCAACCCAGCCAATCAGAATTGACCATGTGCCAGCCTGGTACAAATCAAATATAGCACATACTATCATTATGATAATGTGTGACCTAAATATCGGTCTACAAGTTTGACAGCTTTAGGCTCCACCCCCTTGCCCCTACAAACACTGAGCACTAGCCTATATTTACACTTGTATACATGCTAAGCTACTCAGTGACGACTGCCGTGATGAAACATGTCTTAGACAAAATCACACCATCAAAACCTCTTTTTCTACTTCAAACTGAATGAAGTACTATTATAAAATATTGTTTATCTGATTTTTGTTCATAAATAATCAATGATCCTTTAAAAACTAAATAGATTTGGGGTGTAGGACCATGTGACACAAGGACATGAATTAGCCATGTTGTGGTTGTGATCCTAACTATGTCAGTCAAAATTACCCACTAAGGAAGTCATTGCGTACTGGACACTGCCCCAAAATTTAATCTCCTAGGAAATTGTCAATGCTATCTTATTCAGGTATTCTATTTTCATTTGTTTTTCTATCTATCTATCTATCAGATCTGTTATTAGATTTTATTTATTTATTGGATTATAATTATTTATTTATTGGTTTATTTAAAGCAGGAATTCATAAACATTTCCAGAAAATTAACCTTTTTATCTGAAAAAAAAAAAGAAAACCTAGAGATATTTTCCTGTTAACTACTTCCAATTTATAAAAAATTGTTCATGATATAAGAATGATAATAATTCATAGCTGCTTCAAAATTACTTCCTGCTAAACTATTCAGTTTTTAATTCCTTTGCAAAGGACATTTAACTGCCATTCATTCAAGGAATTCATGACATCTCTAATTTAAATGTTTAATGTTTGGAAATTTTGATCCAAGTAGTATTTTTTTCTGTTACAAAATAAATTAAACGCAAAGATAAAATCTACACAGAAAAGTACCACTAATTGGCTGATAAAGGGGTACAAATTAATATCTGTAATGCTGTTAGTTATAAACTGTTGCTCAAGATATAATCAGACAAAAGTTTGGTAAGTGTTTATTCTGAACGATATCATGTTTCCTGTATTTGTGTACACATATAAACATAATTACTATAAAATAGGTGGACAAATCGACATCAAAATGGTGGCATTTTTTTATAACACTTCCTTTGTTTTTAAAGACGCAAATGATCACAACCAACCTCAATATAATGTGACCTGGTTTGATTTGAGCACATGTACCAGGTAATCACTAATTATAGGTGCCATTTCAAGCCGATTCTACCCAAAAACATATCAACCTCCAATATCAAATTCTACCTGTGGTGTCACTTGTCAATTCAATGTGTACGGAGTTCAGATTCTATTTCACGGTACATGTGTATGGATGTTACAACAATGGTTGTCATGGTGATGTACAACAAGGGTTGCCATGGTGATTTTTGTAAGATGCAAATGTCATAATATGACAATTCACAGTAAAATCCATCATAAAAATGCTTCCGACTGTTTATATATCTTACTTAAATCTTTTATAACGCCAACGACATAATATACTTATTGTATCTGTATACCATTCTGAGGAAAACTGAGCCACCTTTTGGATCAATTTTTGATCTCTGTATATACATAGTCTGAAGAATCTCCTAGAAGAGATGAAAGTACTAAAGACTCGTTGTTGAGAATATTTCTTTTTATAATATATACATATAGATAAGTTAGAAACTGACGATGTCATAGATACAAAAAGCTTATAGGACAACACTATAAAGATTTCAGATTAACACTCGACTCACACAATTCAGTACAAGTCTGGCATCAGTGGCCATATAGAGAGACAAGGTGGCATCGTTTAGACTGGGAAGGGATATTTTTCACAATATTTCCACATTTATTGTTAATGTGATAACCATTTCCTGTGAGGTTGGTGAAACCAATCCCTTTTAATTATCAATAAGAATAAAAGAATCTATCACTCCTGTATGATGTTAACAGAGAAATCCGAACCTGAGCATAAGATTTCTTAAGTTGAGTTGAGAAATGACTGGTTAATATTCTCCCACACTCTCCTGCTGCTAAACAACATGTAACGCTGAACCCAATGCACCGTGCCATCAACAAAGGCGCTTTCAATTAATCTGTGACAACATTGATGATGTTACCCTGGCTTCACTGTATAAATAATGACATGATGGGGACGTTTTCATAATAATAGCACATGTTACATGCTGATATTTTCCTTAGCAAAAACAGAAATGCACTTTGAAGTATATATTATATATATATATAGCCATGCAATAAAGTATATAGCTACTTTTTTATAGTTAGGAAAGCAGCGTAGCAGCATTCAGTGGGAAAACAAGTGTTCTACCAGCCATTCAGCAATAACCTGCCACCTGCTACATTGAGGAGGAAGACAGTCAGTGAACACCGAGGGTGATCCGGGGGTCAGCACCTTTCATGCAGCTATTTTGTATGTGTCGGTGTGTGGCGTGCCATCCCGCACAAACCACTTCATGTTACATATCTTTATCAATCGCGTTAGATCAGCTAGCTATTGTTTACAGCAGTTTATCAAACTTTTTCTTCTTTTCTGTCTGTATTTAAATTGACTTGAGACAGATCTCTCCAAATGATTGGTAAATGATACTATTAAAACAAGGTAACACATGTATAGGATCCTGTTACCAGAACCAAAAATATACATGAATCAGGTATCATTTGAATTCCCTATACATACAAACAGTGGCTAGGTGAATCGCAATACATATATATTATCCTCAATTTACATGATCTAACTTTAAATAATAATCTTGTAATCTATAAATACAAACAAGTAAAGAGAGTTTTCAAATTTCCCCAACCATATTCAAATGCATCTCCGTTATCATTCTACTAACAGATGACAGTACAAAATGTCAGTGATTAACTTCATAGCAACTGATGACATTATATAAATATGACATTCATTAGCAGGTAACAGTGAATATTGTCAAACCGAGAAAACCGTTGTCACCCGAGGCGAAGGGTTTTTGAGGGTTGACAATATTCACTGTCACCTGCTAATGAATGTCATATCTATTTTGTTACACCAAAACTCTTTGTAGCTCAGAAACAGCAGCAAACCTCGATAATGACATCTTGTCTGTTGATAGTCTGCCGTTTACAATCGCTATCGCACCGGCGTTTGATAAAATTGGCTGTTGCCATCAAACGTTCTTGTGACCATCACAGTGGGGAAACGTAGCGGTGAACGCACATTTTTCGCGCATGTGATATTTTTCACTGTCTCATGGCAATATCACCTGCTCCCCTTAAAACCGATGTATTTTCGGAGGGTGACAGAGATTTTTGTTTATTTTTCTCCCAACCAATCAAATAGCTAGAAATTCACTTGAGGTGTAACAATACAAAATGTCCATGAATGTCATAGCAACAAGAGACAGTACAAAATGTCAGTGAATGTCACAGCAATACATGACATTACAAAATGTCAAAGAATGACATAGCAGTTGGTGACAGAACAAAGTGTCATTGATTAATTTCATAGCAATGGACGATAGTCTGCTAGATCTTTTCATGCACATCAATACTATTCTAGGGACAAAGGGATCAAACACACCAAGTTTTGGATTCATGATCCTTTTAGTACTTTCTTCAGAAAAAGTACTAGTAAGAGGCTTCAAAAGCAAAATCTAAGGCAGCTGATATTTTTTCCCCTGATCTATCTAAAGTTGAAGCATGCATAACTTAAGGATAGATACAATCATGTGTATTAATTTTCATCAAGATCCTTTACATAGTTTGTATGAAACAACAATAACAAAATCCAAGATGGCTGCATTTGTGGCCATTTTTTTAATATCCATCCCAAACTGGAGCATGTGTACTATGGACCAAGGAGATCATACATTTTTTTTTAAATCCCTTCAGTAGTTATGAGAAATAGTAGCTACTCAATATATGAATGCAAAATTCAATATCAATGGACCAAGGGGATTGTGTATACCAAGTTTCATCAGGATCTCCAACATTGTTTCTGTGAAATAACGGCTATAAAGAGGTAACTGATTGACTGACCCCAAACCACATAGACGAGCTATACAAATGATGGTGGGCTTAAAATCAAACTGCGATAGCAATGCATAAAATAAGTAACACACAGGAGCAAAGTATTATTTTAAATTTGGTGATGTATCCCAATATACTGCAAACCATTCTGGAGTTTCACAATACCTATGTTTCACAATATACAGCAGATATACAATACAATACACCAGTTGCAAATGGAAGTCATGATCGGTTACCTTAAATGACTTGCAGTGTAGCGAGCCTCGAAGAATACCAAGGTTGATGATAAATCTTACCTGTATGTAACGCAGCGACCCTCTGAGAATACTCAGGTTAGAGGTCCTCTTGTCTTCAAGGGTTGGGATTTGATTTTTCAGAAACTCAAAGCATTCCTTCAAGTGAGCTCTCCTACAAGTAAACAGGTTACATTAGCTACAATTCAGGAAAGTTGAGCTCATAATTGTGTCTGTCACCAGAAACTCCTTATATATGTATGTTTTAAACATGAAATCGTAGAAGTCAGTGTCTACTGAAATTTGACTCTAAAAATATAAAACTGATTTTTTTGTTTATAATTGAAACTATATATAGCAGCATGTTGGTTTTTCATTTGTATCAAAATTATAAAATATTTTAGTAAACTGATTTGTATATCAGCCTGTGTCCATGACATTGCCGTTTTCTGTATTAAATGAAATTTGCAAACTCTGCCTGTAGGATGGTACTTGAAGCATACAATTGTTCATTCCTTTGGTTTTATTGGAGTAGCATAAATAATGGTCATTTCATCATTGCATAACATCATTATAATCCATATCAGGATCGTCAAAATGTTTAAATTTGATTCAGAGTAATGCCCCTTGCGTTTATACATAATGTTCATCCCTACAGTGAAAGCAGGAATACACCAACATTGATCTGCCCCTGTCGCATATTTGTTATAAGTCATGTTTTAGTCAATGTTTTTTGTCAGGGTTGTTTATGACTGTTTTGTGACCCACTGTGGCATACAGTGCTGAGCTGTTTTGCAATTGACAATGTTACAACACTTTCTATAAAATACAACTTTGGTTTTAGATATGGTCAAAAGATGGTAGCCTCTGCAGAGTTAACTCTATAACATAAGAGGTCGCTGGTCAGCTGACTGCGAGAGTTTACGTGGCACCTGTCAAAAGTATCTCGCCGTGTAAACCTCCAACACTGTTGGAGTAAGTTAACTGGGGATTAAATACATCACAAATGGTGACAGGCTCAATATGCTTCCATCATTCATTTTTAATCAAAGCAGCTTAACTAATGCTGCCTCAACAAAAAAAACAACGTAAATTCAGGACATTCCACAATACATCTAAATAACATAATATTTACACGTGAAATTATATAGAAACTTGCTCGAGTTACCTCCCATAACTGAATGGTATTTTAATGAGATGTTTTCCTATTGCTACAACTTAAAATGCGTATGTTAGCTGGACTGTTGTAGCAAATCATGATGATTTTACCATTATTTAGACATAACCATGCACATACATAAATACACTTCCACTTAATCTTTTGTATATAAATGTGTGCCGTTAACACTATAAACAAAATTTTAATTAATGGTGTCAATTAAATACCACTTATGTAAAGATATTAGCAAAAAGTTGTTTATTAACAGTGCCAATTGCAAAACGCTAGATTTATCTACAGAGAATATATACATAAAAAACCTCCTGATAACCCACACATCATAATCTTTTATTGTTTATGTCAGTTGTTTTAATTAATTGCCTATTTATTATTATTACCTGTTCTTTTCCAACTTATTATGGACTTCACGTGTTCCAGCTCTGTAAAAATAAACATTGCGATTCAAAACAAAATATTACACGGATGCAAATCAACGTGAATGGAAAATGTACAATTTCACAAAACAAAACACACTGAACGACACCGTGTCGAATCACACGTGACGCAGTTTCGTCACAGAACACGTGAAATTGAAGGTCGATCATGTTTACTCACCCGCCCGCACGGCGCTTGTCTTTGCCGTCTCCCTCATTCCCCGATAGCTTCCCCGAGTTGCTCGATTCAGGTGATCCATCGGAATCGTTCATAGACAACACGGAATAGCCATGCGGATCCCGGGGGCCCGAATCAACTAATAAAGCAGAAATGAAACAAAATACAAGATAGTCTAGCGTTCCCGGCACGTACAAACAGCTCATAAATATGCAAATAAGTATTATCTCCAAAGAGAGACCCCGACAGCAAATGTGTATACATTATCGAATTCTGTATGCAATCGCCATATTATCAAACAGACAATTGCAAACGTGATTTTAACGAATCCTAAATGGAAGACGCTTTCATCAGAATATAATAAAACGTGAATAAACGACGTAAAAAACATGAATTTTCATCAAAAATAGGCCATGTGCTTAATCTTACCACGTGTTCTGGAATGGTTACGCCATTCCAAAAATTCGGCCGCTTCTAACAAGGTTTCCAGGCTCATTTCCCTTGCCGATCTGCTCGAAACGGTAACAGGATTGTTCCTCAGTCACACTGACTGGTCACTTTCTGATCAGTCTCCTAAGTATATTACAACATTCAATGTTTTGTCGAGCCACCAACATAAGATGGCGATGGCTAGACCAAAACACTTGGCCCTGAGAAATAATTGCAGTACCACGTGGTTTTTGATTGGCACCTGTCAGTTTTCGACCAATCAAAACGCCGAATTTTGACGTCATGATGCTACCACGTTGGAAATCACATGGTTTGTTTTGGCAATGTTAATAATTTTGCATTCAATTTTATGGTCAAAACAAATTGTAAGTAATATCTGAATGGTGCAAATTATTCATTGAACATTGACTTAAACTGCTTGCGGGTGAATAAACAATGATTATATGAGTATTTTTCTGCAAACAAACGCGTGTTTGTTGTAAATAGGCAAGTGGGTGTTTCCCCTGGTGATGATGACATACATTTTCCGAAATCGCGAACTTCGTCGCGAGAAATCGTGAGATAGCTACAAAAATGGCGTCAACCTAGATTTACTACGTGGAGAATAACAAGACAAGGAAGAAGCATGCTGCAAATGACACGTCCGGTTTCAATTTAAATTTGGTGAGTATCTGGTCATTACGCTGAACCCTTTATTGCTCTATAACATTAGGCCTAATGTTGCGTTGTGTTTACATTGGTGTCAGTTTGACAGGCAGCAATGCCAGCAGTCATGCCGTGCACACGTTGATGTCATGCTATTTGTAAATGAACTGAAACATCACGATTTAAAATTTGAATGGTGATGTAGGCCTACGTATTGAATCTTGAACTAGGCCCTAGCTGTCCAGGGAAGACGTGGAAATTGTATTATATTCTCTTCTGACGGTAATAACAACAGGTAAGTCGTCTGACTCGATCACATTTCATAAATGAAGCATGGCAAAGATACCTTGTATCAGGTGTCGCTGATCATTACAACATCAAGACCGAGTTTGATGAAAGTTGTTATTTGCGAAATCCCGGTCAAGTCCCGTCCATAAATATATCTTATTAATTACTCTGCCTTTTGCTCACTGGTTAAAGTGTTTTAACCCACAATTTTATAAAGAGAAAGGTTCCGCCAAATCATGTATATCAGGTTAGTGCAATAATTCCAAAATAACAGGAAAAAATAGAAACTTCATTTTTTTTTTTACAATAACTATGAAACAATTTCTTCCAACTTATATTAATCATTCTTGTTTGCCGGGATGAAAAGTTAAACATGTATAAAAATATGGGAGAAAACCCAGTGAACTGAAAAAACGCACATGGTGGCAGGCAGGTGACCAAATACTTCTCATTCAATATATGAGAGTATTAAAAGGCTAGTACGCTTATCCACTGTGACATTCAGCCACCCTATAGCTAGACTCCAGTCAAAATTGTATATCTTAATTGATACAGTTTTAGCATTTTTATCCAAACCCCACATGGTCAAGCTGGTGAACCTATACTTTTCACATATAATTGGGTAATCACACCCCATCCGTCTTTATGAAAGGCGAACAGATATGCTGTCACCTCACCAATCTATAACTAGAGCCCAATAAAAGATATTTGAAAACAAAATATTGTCACTTATTTGGACTAAGGTATTATAAAAGAGTTTATGTACACTAGGATAAATGGTTAAGGTTATTTTACCAGTTGATAGCTCTGCTCACCAATATTAGAAGTTCTGGTGCACCTAATGAGAAATTTACTTCATCTTGTAGAAGTCTTAAATAGTTCTGGTTCTGTTCCATGTTCAGTGATGTTTCTGGAAAAGTTCTGGATCTGTTCATGTTCAGTGATGTTTCTGGAATAGTTCTGGTTCTGTTCCGTGTTCAGTGATGTTTCTGGAATAGTTCTGGATCTGTTCATGTTCAGTGATGTTTCTGGAATAGTTCTGGATCTGTTCATGTTCAACGATGTTTCTGGAGTGAAGATTTGTCATTTCTGTTGACAGTCATAATGGTTATTACATACAGGGGGCACTGATTTATCCATAAGTCATTTCTGAGGTATAAATTTCCAGATAAAAACTTTTAAAATTCATACAATTTGGCAGTCACATGGTACATTAAGGGGACATGTATACTTCAGGTATAAAGGTAGCAATCAGTAGCAAGACTATTTCATTGAAGTGTATAATTGATAAATTGGGACGGAAACATCTAAGAATTTCACACCTTTCGTGAAAAGGAAGTCTACTTACCAGGTATAAAGTGCCCTTTCATTAGACATGGAGTTGAGAACTACACACTAGTATTTCAACACATGGTTATGAAAGTTGTCAGATTGTGGTGTATTAAAACTGGTAGTACACATGTCCCATGACTAAAACCCAGTCAAAGTAATCTGAACAAAATCTTGAAATAAGATATTTTAATGGTTCTGATCACCAATAACAGCACTGTTTCATCAATTAGTGTTAAATTGAACTAGCCCATCAGTCATATGTTCAGGTTTATTGATTAATGGTTTTGGTCCAAGAGTTTAGCTATAAGGTAATCAATAGAGCATGTATACATCAATCGAGTGTTCTGGTCCACCAACTGATTCTTAAAATCCAATTTACACGTACATATAACTATTAATTAATAACTGAGTACACCCCTGTAGGTTCAGGAAAAGGATAGGCCTGCTGTATCCCACTGCTTGTTTTGTCATATAAAGGGACTTGTGTAGGGCCTCTTGCAGAATTGAGGGTCTTCTTCTGTCTTAACTGTAGGGGACATTGAAGAAAAATTGATCTTTTGTCTCCTTGACAACACATGAGACATCTTGCCTCCCCTAAGTACTCATGTTTTTCGTATGACTTCAATTGTTGTGAAAGCATTAAAACCTTGTGGATTTTTTTTTTGCAGACAATGTACATAACAGTATGCATGGAATACCTAGCTTATATAATTTCGATGTTAAATGTCATTTTCATAAAAAAATAATCATACCAGCTGTTCTACCTCATGAACTACCTTAAATTTGCGGGTATAGTGCGCACTCGGGTAATAGTGCGCACTCGGGTAAAGTGCGCATGTACGTTTTTGGGGTCAGATTTGAAGAGAGAGAAAAAATGGAAATAAAATGTTTTTTTTTTTTTTTTTTTGAAAAATCCTAAAATTAACGGTATCTATCAAACTGGAAAAGTAACATCAAAGGTAGCTTGGTGTTTATAACGCCGATTAATTAACGATTGATTGATTGGAGTCAACAAGCCCATGAAGGTCTCCCTCCGTACCGCTTGGTGGACGAATCCTGCAGAAACCAAACGAAGAAAGTCTAAGGCCTAATGTGCATTTTTTTCCCTGGCTCACTTTCATGTTGACATGATCGATAACCTCGTGAATTATTTCAATATTATGAAGCATCATAAAAATAGTGTATTCTGCTTTTATTTATTTCCTTCAAGTAGATTTGAAGGGGATGTGTTTAATGTCCACGCTTCTAGTATAAACAATTTTTTTATAATCCCTTTACAGTCAAATCAGTCTGTAGTTCTAACAGTGCACCGGGACTTCACCCCACGGCACATGTTGAGGAGTGAAAACAACACGGTCCCTCGTTTGCGACTGCAAGTAATTTCAATTACTATCATACTATCATATATGACTGACGACTCAAAATAAACTATTTGAAGGGAGGTAATCCAATATGGCGGACCAGAAACTCTAGAACGATAACCCAAGAATGACTTGTTCCTGCGTATAGTGCGCACCCCCTGTTTGACATGACAATATTTACCCAAAAAAGTGTGCACTATACATGCAAATTTACGGTATAATCAATCCTAGGCCTGTGATCCTGAAACACATTTGGCTGGTGTTTGAGAAATGTGTAAAAAAGATTCTACCATCAGCTGGACTTTATGGTACATGTAAAGCCACTGGTAAAGGGCTGGACATTGGTATAGTAATTGGAAGATATATGTATAAACTATTGACTGCAGGCGACACATTTGTACAGTGGTTATGGGCAACATGTTGGTGCTGTGATTGGAGGCTAGACTGAACTTTAAATTTGGTAAAGGTACTGGAGGCTAGACCGAACTTAAAATTTGGTAAAGGGACTGGAGGCTAGACCGAACTTTAAATTTGGTAAAGGTACTGGAGGCTAGACTGAACTTTAAATTTGGTAAAGGGACTGGAGGCTAGACCGAACTTAAAATTTGGTAAAGGTACTGGAGGCTAGACTGAACTTTAAATTTGGTAAAGGGACTGGAGGCTAGACTGAACTTTAAATTTGGTAAAAGGACTGGAGGCTAGATATAGACCGAACTTTAAATTTGGTAAAGGTACTGGAGGCGAGACTGAACTTTAAATTTGGTAAAGGGACTGGAGGCTAGATATAGACCGAACTTTAAATTTGGTAAAGGTACTGGAGGCGAGACTGAACTTTAAATTTGGTAAAGGGACTGGAGGCTAGATATAGACCGAACTTTAAATTTGGTAAAGGTACTGGAGGCGAGACTGAACTTTAAATTTGGTAAAGGGACTGGAGGCTAGATATAGACCGAACTTTAAATTTGGTAAAGGTACTGGAGGCGAGACTGAACTTTAAATTTGGTAAAGGGACTGGAGGCTAGATATAGACCGAACTTTAAATTTGGTAAAGGTACTGGAGGCGAGACTGAACTTTAAATTTGGTAAAAGGACTGGAGGCTAGATATAGACTGAACTTTAAATTTGGTAAAGGTACTGGAGGCGAGACTGAACTTTAAATTTGGTAAAGGGACTGGAGGCTACAATTTGGTTCAGTAGTAGTACACAATTTTAGATTTGAAAATGAAGGACTTTTAATGGGCCAAAGTTTTGTCAAAATTTGGCAATTTCAGTTTTTTAGAATTCTAGATTGCATTGTGATAATTAAAAGGTTAGGATGTTTCTGGATTTGTAATAATTTGTATTTGTGATCAAGTTTGTGTGTTTCTAAAAATTCACAGTTCGGTTTACAGCGATATAATTGTCACTATTCTAAAGTCAAAGTCCCCTTTTCTAAAATTGTGAAAATAATCCCTGAAACATCTACATTATATTCCAGAAGTAAAAAATTAATTCACCTCTCAATCTATTCTGTCAAGTTTTAAAAGGATGATGTATTCATGTCGGTGTTCATGCAAGCATGCGAACTTTAACTAAAGTGAAAGGATATTAAACTATTGAGGTTCAATTATCCATGACACATTTTTTTATGCATGTTCACAAGTACAATTATAACCACAATTTTTAATAAGAAAAGCAAATCCTTCAGGGTATTTCATTTTGTCAAAACTATCATGGTTCAAAGTGAGGTATATGAAGATCTCTACACAACAACTACGGTAAATTTCCATAAAGTTAAATACTGGATAGTTGTGGTAGATTTTGTTCAGGTTTGATGCTTGATCATTTAATAGTTGATTTTCCTGACCTTAAGTCATGATCTGTGGACACCAATCATATTACTCTAGCTTTTGTGAAGAAGTAAAACCACTATGAAACCCTGTCAAATTCCAATGGATTGACAATGTCTGACTCGAGTTGCTTGCCCTTTTTTGCATTGCAAAAAGCTATATTGTGAAAGGCATTTATAATTTCCTTTTCTACAAAAGCAAGAAAAACTGACAGGGGGAGTTACTCTAAGTCAGAAAATATTTTTGGGTTGCTTCATCTTCTGTATAGAGTTGAAAAAACTATGAGTGGTGCGATTATAACTAATGTAGTGGTACCCTTTACCTTAAATACATCCATTCAGCGACTGTATCACTAGTTGGTCTTATTAGACCTTTTGTGTCATTGGATACTTGAAACTCTGTCAACTAATCTATATTTTGTCATCAGTAATCAGCCTTGATTAATTGATTGATTGGTTGGTTTTATGTCCGCTTCACTACCGAGTATTTCGATTATCCAGCAACCTTGAAAGCTTGGTAGTCATCTTTTATAGGTGAGAATGCCCTCCCCATAGCCTCTCTCACTGCCTAGATATATCAGCTGTCAATAATTCATGCTCCTGGTTGTAGCCTGGTATAGTGAGAGTTGTTACGGAGTAGGTATATGTACCCACACATTATCTGTTCACGCTTAAGATAATGAGATTTGTACCTGTGCGTCAGATTAGAAATGGGTTTGATCTTGTGCATAAAACAGAATGCACACATTTAAATGTGCAATTTTGTAAGAAATCTACCAGTGATTGTGACAAAGATTTTGGATATAAGTAGTAGAAGATGTACTGTAGATAGGTAAAATGGTTTTGTTCGGGTATACATAGCCAGTTAAAAACACACTACATAGGTGGTGTCGGACACATCAAGGGATTTTGTGACGCAATTTGTGTTATGCATGGTTAAATTGAGCTATTAAATTTTTAACAAATTTTGTTTGATTGTAAAAGGAAGACAATAATTGCTTCTATGAGAAAAAAGGGGATTCAAAACATTTTAAACATAGCAATCAGTTAACACTACACAAATGTATCCACAGATTATTTGATTCAACTTAATGTCACTAGCGATTGGTCAGGTTTATTTACCTGAGACCAATCAAATAGCTAGACGCTTGCCTTCAGTTTTGCTATGACATATTCCAGGGGTGCAGAGAGCGAAGGTGAGCGTAACTTCTGGAGTATCGAGGATGCTTCACTTATGATAAAGGAGGTTTCATATAATATATCGTCACAAAGTCACAAACATAAAATTTTACTTTTTATGTTGATTTCATTGTTTTTGTGACATTTCATTTTTATCTCATTTCTGTCCGTCTCATGACGTTTAGAGGAATCTACTGTAATAATGGAGATACCCAGGTTACAGCAGAGTGTGTTCTGTTATTGATCTTATCACTGTAGAGTAATAGAAAGTCACCCATTTAACGCCAGCTACTGCTTTGTGTAATAGAGCTTGGTTTTGGTATGGCCATTTTAGAACAGGAAAAAAAAAATGCTGTATATAAAATTTCCTGGTAAACAAGTATAAAGGAAATAGAGAGTAAACCTCTAAAAGAGCAGGTGACCTATTAAGGTCCCAAGATCTCTTGTATAATTATATATATTATATTTATAATGCGACTTCTTACATGGATGTATCACAGGTGTATTAGATACAGTAATATTTATATATATCTACACAATTGATTGTATCAGCATCTGTCAGCTAGGTAAAAGTTATTGTAAAATGTCATGGATCCGAGTTGTGCCTCTGACACAATCTAATGAAAATCATATCCTACAGCCGATAGGGACAGTAGGTTTAGCTTATGATTTTAATCATAATGGCCTGAGTCTAATCGTACAAATATGGAATATCAGACGTATGGAAATATTTACGATGTCAACACATCAATACCTTGTGTTTGATGTACACGTGTTACAGACAGCAGACTACCTACCCCAATAACTCTGGACTAATGTTTACCTAACACTAGCTGGTGTTTATAATTTATAGGGTATCGTGCTCTCCCCAGACCTCTAGTAATGACTTGATGCTGTCATGTCATGTTTTATACTGGGGTAGGTATCAATACTTTTTAACTTGTAGTGATTTTTGTTGTGTAAATCGATGTGTGCTGCGAGGTATAAACTGTATTGTCTCCCAACTGTCTAGTGTCACTCATATACAGCACACATGATACATGTGTCCTTACTGACACTGCCCCCTAGTGTCACATCTATACAGCACACATGATACATGTGTCCTTTCTGACACTTCCCCCTAGTGTCACATCTATACAGCACACATGATTCATGTGTCCTTACTGACACTGCCCCCTAGTGTCGCATCTATACAGCAAACACGATACATGTGTCGTTACTGACAATGCCCCCTAGTGTCACATCTATACAGCACACATAATACATGTGTCCTTACTGACACTGTCCCCTAGTGTCACATCTATACAGCACACACGATACATGGGTCCTTACTGACACTGCCCCCTAGTGTCACATCTATACAGCACACACGATACATGTGTCCTAACATGACCTGGTGTTACTTATGTCTAGAGGACCAGGAAGTGGAAGTAATTCAGGACAAAAGAGCTGTTCAGTCGGCAAGTATAGATCATATGTTTAAGAAAATATATGCCAGTATTATAAGAGGGGAAAAGGGAATGGTATTTTCCTGCGTTTCTCAGTAATAGCAGGAAATATATGTCTGTTATGATTCGGATGGAACTGTATTTTGATTGGCTAAGTGTATTGACACATGAATATGAATGAGCGAAAGTGCTTTGCACGTGCAGGTTATAGAGTAAGAGAGGTACACGTGGTAAGGTAGTCATTCTAGCAAGTATAGATCATATGTTTAAGAAAATGTATGCCAGTATTATAAGAGGGGAAAAGGGAATGATTAGAAGGTGGGGAAAGAAATAAAAGTAAAAATTTAAAGTGGCTAATTGTTTTATTGGTCTATCTACATATGTTGGACTAGCCCTAGATTGTTTTATTGGTCTATCTACATATGTTGGACTAGCCCTAGACGATTTGTATGATTGCTATTTTGAAGTTTGACTGAGGCTGACAATGACAATTTTTATGATTGCTAATTTGAAGATTGAGGCTGACAATGACAATTTGTATGTTTGCTATTTTGAAGTTTGACAGGCTGACAAAAATGATTTGTATGATTGCTATTTTTCAGGATGTGACTGAGGCTGACAATTATATTTGTATGCTGTTTTTCAGGCTGTGACTGACGTGAGCCATGTCTCCTCCTGTGATTGAGAACCTGAAGGGGTTTCTGTCCACCAAGCCTCCACTTGTCATTTTTATGATATGTCTCGGAGGCTGTGCAGTCGTTCTTCTGACCTTGGCCTATATAGTGAAGGTTAATGACCAACTCATTAATCCAGATTTAACTAAGGTCAGTGTGTGGTCGGCTTAACTGATTAAATTACCTAAAATTTGGATCATCTGGCATCAGAAACATCATCTAGAAATTGTCCATTTAGATTTTAGAAAGAAAATCAGTATTGTCAATATTTAACCTTTATAAGCAACTCACCCTTGGGATAAGCAACCCAAAGTTGTTTCATCAGGTCCGAGATTCCCAAACATCTAAAACAATTTACTGACTAATATGATAAGAGTCTATTATGGCTATTTTGTTCAGAATTTTAAAAGGATCGGTAACTGGTCTAGGTTTTCAAACTTGCTGAGCAGCCTAGCATGCTTATCAATGCAAAAATAGTACACTGGTCTTTTTATACGAATTAATTATTCAATTATCTTTCAATGTTACTGTAATGGATAGTATTCATATTTGTTGTTTAATACATTCATTCTAATGTGACAGGATTGGAACAAGTTTCTGGATAATTTTGCGGAGCTGGAGTTCTGTATGATAGCTAACTCATCAGGGTATCCTGACGAAGCCCAGTCTGCCTCTCCAAAGCTGACTGACAAGTTAAATGTTATCAGTAACAAACTGACGGGGTCGGCATCCACTACCGAGAGGTCACCACAAAGTGGAGACGACATTGTGTAAGGTTTCATTTGTTACCGTTAATTAAACCACCCCTGGTTAAATAAAATAGAGCATACACATGAAAGTAAATGAAAAAATATAAATAAAATGTAAAGGTAAGCACAACCTGAATATAAGGTCGTATTTAGAAATACTGTGAAGATACTTATTTTAGTGGTAATCATATTTTAGAAGTTTTCATGACAATTCAGAAGTGCTAAGCTATGACGATCACTAAGTAGAAACCACTTTTCTCCTCTATGTTGCAGTGCTAAATCAGGACTATTATAATTGGGTTCATAAAATTGAATGTAAAATATATGTGTATGAATTATAATTCCCTGGTATGAATGGCTCACAGACTGAAAAATAAATATGTAATTGATGTTTTTAATAATATAGACGTATAGCAGTGTTCAAGAGTTTAACTCAAATGTTGACATGTAGGGAGAAACAATCAATGAACACACTCTCATAAATACATAACTCCCTGTATCTCATCCTGACAGTGTCACTTAATACGACAATCAATGAATACACGCTCTCATAAATACATAACTCCCTGTATCTCATCCTGACAGAGTCAATTAATACGACAATCAATGAACACACACTCTCATAAATAAATAACTCCATGGATCTCATCCTGGAGAGTCACTTAATACGACAATCAATGAACACACACTCTCATAAATACATAACTCCATGTATCTCATTCTGACAGTGTCACTTAATACGACAATCAATGAACACACTCTCTCATAAATAAATAACTCCATGTATCTCATCCTGGAGTGTCACTTAATAAGACAATGAAAAAGTCACCCTCATTGTTTACAGTAACACATCACTGACAATGTCACTTAATACGACAACCAATGAAAACACACTCTCATAAATAAATAACTCCATGGATCTCATCCTGGAGTGTCACTTAATACGACAATCAATGAACACACACTCTCATAAATAAACAACTCCATGTATCTCATCCTGACAGTATCACTTAATACGACAATCAATGAACACACACTCATAAATAAATAACTCCATGTATCTCATCCTGACAGTGTCACTTAACGACAATCAATGAACACACTCTCATAAATAAACAACTCCATGTATCTCATCCTGACAGTGTCACTTAATACGACAATCAATGAACACACTCTCATAAATAAACAACTCCATGGATCTCATCCTGACAGTGTCACTTAACGACAATCAATGAACACAATCTCATAAATAAACAACTCCATGGATCTCATCCTGACAGTGGCACTTAACGACAATCAATGAACACAATCTCATAAATAAACAACTCCATGTATCTCATCATGACAGTGTCACTTAATACGACAAGCAATGAACACACTCTCTCATAAATAAATAACTCCATGGACCTCATCCTGACAGCGTCATCTAATACGACAATCAATGAACAGACACTCTCATAAATAAATAACCCCATGTATCTCATCCTGACAGAGTCACTTAATACGACAATCAATGAACACACACTCTCATAAATAAACAACTCCATGTATCTCATCCTGACAGTATCACTTAATAAGACCATCAATGAACACACACTCTCATAAATAAATAACTCCATGGATCTCATCCTGACAGTGTTATTTGATAAGGCAATGAAATAGTCACCCTCATTGTTTACAGTAACACATCACTGACAATGATGGTGGAATTGCGGCCGACGCCCCACTTCTACGGGATCACACAGAATGTGACTTTCCTGTCGTCCACGGTAACAGGCAGTCAGATTGGATTGTCAGGTACGCCATAATATTAATACTACAGTTTCACTTCAAATAAGACAGTCTGTAAACCAATTAGGAGTTGAAGAAAAGTATAGATTTAAATGGAAAATTGATTTGCTGATTGATTACAGGTATATGATCGATTTTTCAAGACTTATGAATTCAAGAACTTGCAAATATTTTCTTATTCAAGTATTAGTTTCAAACAGCTACTTATAGGGGGACAATGTTGTCTGATATTTAATCTAAAAATCCCAGGGGATATTTAAAGTACGGATGTAAACATATACTGACCGAGGTGACTTCTGTAAACATGGCAATTAGCATCCTGTGCAAAACAATACTCATCATACTCTACACTTGGTCAACTTGCTATTCAAACATATCCTATACACTATTGGTAGATTGTAGATTACATTTGTCGTTGCAGGCATATTTCATAATTATTCACATTAATTAACCCTTTCACCACTGTAGACCGTAATAGACTCATCTGGATCAATGCATGGTAGAGTCTACTAAAGTTACATAGGGATGAAAGGGTTAAAACAATACTCTCATTGCTTTACCTTTGCATTACTTTGTGTGGAATCTCTTTTGAACTTTTTAATGTTGATGCTTTTCCAGGGGCAGCTGCTGACCTTGAGATGAATGTGACCTTGAACTTCCCGTTCGACTGGAATGACACCGATTGTTCTGGAAGCACCTGTCCTACTATACATATCCTCACATGTATCAACTTACAGGCCCCTTTGGCCTTTTTCCCCAGTACACGGTAAGTCTGCCATTCAATGCAGTAATAAAGAAACTGTTAAGTAAATTTCTCGTAAATTCTTAGCTGTGGGAAACCATGGTCCGATAAAAAACAAAAATCAAGCCTAGGGCTACGGTTCCCGCAGCTAATATATTCTATGGATATATCAGACAAACCAGGAGTTAAACATAAACTTTTTTTTCTTTCACAACAATTACACAAGTTACAAGTTATTACAGCTGACATTAATCACTCTTGTTGGTCCGATGTTAGCATGCAGGGAGGGGGGTCTTAATGTGAGAGAAACCAATGTACTAAAACATACACTAAATTTTCTAGAAGATTTTTTTTTAAATGAAGAACAGAATTTAATATTGTTTATATAAAAAGTCAGCTTTTGATTGTTAATTATCACTTTCAGAGAAGTTCCCAGAACATGGGAGACTGAATCTAGGGCCTACCCTAGTTGATTTTTTTTCAGATATCTGCTCCTCCGGCGCTATACGCCTCAAATGATTGACTCTCTGTAAGCATAAACTTCAAAAAATGATTTGCTGCGCCTCTGCATTTTGATCACAAGAAGGACAACCTCATTTTGACACGGTGTTCTAGCTATAGACATAGGTGCCCAGACAAGGTTGTCCTTGCTCGTCTCAAGAGGTGTCATTTATAGATTAGGGAAACACGAAGACTAGCCTCAATGCATAGCCTCTCAGGAACTATTAAAAGACTTGTTGTCAGATTGCATAAACCTTAGCAAACACAAGACAGTTTCTCTAATCTTGTTACAAGTCTTGAATTCTTCTCGAAAAACTTAACATCTCCAAAATTCCACCTGAAATCTGTTGATCTGTTACAATATAGATAACTTACCATAGCCACATTAACATTTGTCAATTTCATTTATTGGATGTTACCGGGTATTTCCCTTAAAATGTTTTCATCGACCATTTATTGGATCGAATGACATCCTCTATGTTGATTGGACTTAAAAAATGTTGTAATAACTTTTTAGGTCACCTGAGCTTTAGCTCAAGTGACCTATTGCTATCCGTTTTCGTCCGTCGTCGTCCGTCGTCCGTCGTCCGTCGTCCGTCGTCCGTTAACATTTTACATTTCAAACTTAAAGTCAAGTTCTGCTGGGCCGATTGAACTGAAAGTTGATAGGAATGATCGCCTCATGGTCCTGACAAAGTGTTGTTATTTTTCGGGTCGATCAGAAATCCAATATGGCCACCACGGCTGCCATTTTGGAAAACTATTTCAAACTTAAAGTAAAGATCTACTTGGCCGATTGAACTGAAACTTTGTAGGAATGATCGAATCATGGTCCTGACAAAGTGTTGTTATTTTTCGGGTCAATCAGAAATACAATTTGGCTGCCATGGCCGCTATTTTGCTACTAAGTTCTAATAGGCCGATCTCACTTAAAATTGGTCTAGGAATGATCAGCTCATGGTCCTGACAAAGTTAAGTTAACATTATACTATTTTTTACTCAAATTGGTACATATTTCAACAACAAAAATAAATACTATAGACTCAGGTGACCGTTAAGGCCCATGGGCCTCTTGTTTATATAATATATGAATATTTTGATAGGAACTGCCAGGGTTGGGGAGCCCTGGGGTCAGGCCCTTGAACAGTATGGTGTCCTCACACAGGAGAGCTCTCATTCAACATTCATCTTTCAGTCTCTTTCTGAATTTAGTTTATACGATCATATTTCCGTTGTAATAACTATTAATACGGTTTATACATTGTATATCTCCAGACAAGTGGGTGCGTGCTACAGTGCATCTAACGAGTCGAGCAGTGAAGTCCACACAAGAATGCAGAGTTACCTGGGTAACCAGTTCACCCTCCTACCAACAGCAGCTTCACAATGTCAGGAAACACCAGTCATCAAGGTCAAACACAAGGTCGACCCCAGGTTTACTATGATGCTGACGTTGGTAAGCACTGCTTATATCTATTCCACCTGTTCAATCAATAACTTTTGGTAATAACTGAATGAATATTCAATATACTGAGTTAATGAATATTCAGTATGCCTCTCTAATGAATATTCAGTATGCCTCTCTAATGAATATTCAATATACTGAATTAATGAATATTCAGTATGCCTCTCTAATGAATATTCAAATGACTTTGTTACAGGATCTAGATGTGTTGCTTGCATTAAAAATGCTGATAACACATGATTCTCCTCTTAGACTCCCAAAATGTAATCCCTTCTATGACCCTATGTTTCCCTAGTTATTGATGACCATGTCTGTGTATGTACAAATGCAGACAATTCAGAAGACTCTTCTAAGAAGTTTGCTCAGCTCCTGTTTGTGTAGTTTAAGATAACCGCTTAGTACAGTACAAATACACATTTGATATTACCCATGCGGTTTGGGTATGCCATCCATCAGGAATTCATTCAAACATCTTCATATGACACTTGTTTTTGGAGGGTATTAAACACGAATAAAAGAACCATTTATACCAAGAAATTATGTTGTCAGAGATCAGAAAAATATCCTTGATCAAGGATTGAGTAAAATGTGGAATAATTATGCTGTTAAGTATACAGTTGACCTTACACAGTAGGAACATGTTTGAATAGTGTGAATTTTAGCATGTAATATAGTAAGATTTTTGTCTCTAAGCTGGATATAGAACTATGAAGAGCTTGCCAGATGAGCACTAATTTCTAATGTTTTCTATAGTTTGTTTAAGTTGTGTTTTACTGTGTAATTCTTCCTATCCTGTGTAGTAAGTAAAGTTAAACTGTTTGCTGTATACCCTACAGGAGGACCGGTCAGTCATCAATCTCCACCTGATGCACACAAGCTACTTCCTGTTTGTGATGTTTGTCACCATCTTCTGTTACGCAATCATTAAAGGCCGGACAAGCAAGGTCAAAACACACAACAGTTACTCAGAGGTGAGTCACAGTAACTGTTTAGTGGTAGGTCCTGTCTGGTTCAGTCACAGTAACTGTTTAGTGGTAAGTCCTGTCTGGTTCAGTCGCAGTAACTGTTTAGTGGTAGGTTCTGTCGGGTTCAGTCACAGTAACTGTTTAGTGGTAAGTCCTGTCTGGTTCAGTCACAGTAACTGCTTAGTGGTAGGTCCTGTCTGGTTCAGTAACTGTTAAGTGGTAGGTCCTGTCTGGTTCAGTCATAGTAACTGTTTAGTGGTAGGTCCTGTCTGGGTCAGTATGTGTTTAGAAGTCCTATCTGGGTCTAAATGTGCAACAGATGAATAGGAAGCTATCTTGGCAATTTTGTGAAACTTCAGATATTCTCGGCTATAAAATCTAATATGTTATCAATTCATTTTCGTACAAAAAATGATTTGTACTTGATATCCGCAAAATGTGTCACATTATATCCATAAACTTTGTTCATTTGCAATTGTAGGTGAATTCTTATGCATGAAGTGCAGAGAGGTAGACAGGCATGTCTGTGATACTGTTGATAGCAGTTCTTTTCTTGGCAAGGCTTACCATTGTCTCCCCTTGAGCACCTGGACGAGGCTTGGCAAGGCTTACTGTTGTCTCTCCTTTACCTCCTGGACGAGGCTTGGCAAGGCTTACCGTTGTCTCTCCTTGACCTCCTGGACAAGGCTTGGCTAGGCTTACCAGTTCAGTCACAGTAACAGTTTAGTGGTAGGGCCTGTCTGGTTTAGTCACAGTAACTGTTTAGTGGTAGGTCCTGGCTGGTTCAGTCACAGTAACTGTTTAGTTGTAGGTCCTGTCTGGTTCAGTCACAGTAACTGCTTAGTGGTAGGTCCTGTCTGGTTCAGTAACTGTTAAGTGGTAGGTCCTGTCTGGTTCAGTCATAGTAACTGTTTAGTGGTAGGTCCTGTCTGGGTCAGTATGTGTTTAGAAGTCCTATCTGGGTCTAAATGTGCAACAGATGAATAGGAAGCTATCTTGGCAATTTTGTGAAACTTCAGATATTCTCGGCTATAAAATCTAATATGTTATCAATTCATTTTCGTACAAAAAATGATTTGTACTTGAAATCCGCAAAATGTGTCACATTATATCCATAAACTTTGTTCATTTGCAATTGTAGGTGAATTCTTATGCATGAAGTGCAGAGAGGTAGACAGGCATGTCTGTGATACTGTTGATAGCAGTTCTTTTCTTGGCAAGGCTTACCATTGTCTCCCCTTGAGCACCTGGACGAGGCTTGGCAAGGCTTACTGTTGTCTCTCCTTTACCTCCTGGACGAGGCTTGGCAAGGCTTACCGTAGGTCCTGTCTGGTTCAGTCACAGTGCCTGTTTAGTGGTAGGTCCTGTCTGGTTCCGTCACAGTAACTGTTTAGTGGTAGGTCCTGTCTGGTTGAGTCACAGTAACAGTTTACTGGTAGGTCCTGTCTGGTTCAGTAACTGTTAAGTGGTAGGTCCTGTCTGGTTCAGTCATAGTAACTGTTTAGTGGTAGGTCCTGTCTGATTCAGTCACAGTAACTGTTTAGTGGTAAGTCCTGTCTGGTTCAGTCGCAGTAACTGTTTAGTGGTAGGTTCTGTCGGGTTCAGTCACAGTAACTGTTTAGTGGTAAGTCCTGTCTGGTTCAGTCGCAGTAACTGTTTAGTGGTAGGTCCTGTCTGGTTTAGTCACAGTAACTGTTTAGTGGTAGGGCCTGTCTGGTTCAGTAACTGTTTAGTGGTAGGTCCTTTCTGGTTCAGTCACAGTAACTGTTTAGCGGTAGGTCCTGTCTGGTTCAGTCACAGTGCCTGTTTAGTGGTAGGTCCTGTCTGGTTCCGTATGTGTTGAGAAGTCCTATCTGGTTCTAAATGTGCAACAGATGAATAGGAAGCTATCTTGGCAATTTTGTGAAACTTCAGATATTCTCGGCTATAAAATCTAATATGTTATCAATTCATTTTCGTACAAAAAATGATTTGTACTTGAAATCCGCAAAATGTGTCACATTATATCCATAAACTTTGTTCATTTGCAATTGTAGGTGAATTCTTATGCATGAAGTGCAGAGAGGTAGACAGGCATGTCTGTGATACTGTTGATAGCAGTTCTTTTCTTGGCAAGGCTTACCATTGTCTCCCCTTGAGCACCTGGACGAAGCTTGGCAAGGCTTACCGTTGTCTCTCCTTGACCTCCTGGACAAGGCTTGGCAAAGCTTACCATTGTCTCCCCTTGACCTCCTGGACGAGGCTTGGCAAGGCTTACCGTTGTCTCTCCTTGACCACCTGGACGTGGCTTGGCTAGGCTTACCATTGTCTCTCCTTGACCTCCTGGACGAAGCTTGGCAAGGCTTACCGTTGTCTCTCCTTGACCTCCTGGACGAGGCTTGGCAAGGCTTACCATTGTCTCTCCTTGACCTCCTGGACAAGGCTTGGCAAAGCTTACCATTGTCTCCCCTTGACCTCCTGGGCGAGGCTTGGCAAGGCTTACCATTGTCTCTCCTTGACCTCCTGGCCAAGGCTTGGCAAAGCTTACCATTGTCTCCCCTTGACCTCCTGGACGAGGCTTGGCAAGGCTTACCGTTGTCTCTCCTTGACCTCCTGGACAAGGCTTGGCTAGGCTTACCATTGTCTCTCCTTGACCTCCTGGACAAGGCTTGGCAAGGCTTACCGTTGTCTCTCCTTGACCTCCTGGACGAGGCTTGGCAAGGCTTACCGTTGTCTCCCCTTGAGCACCTGGACGAGGCTTGGCAAGGCTTACTGTTGTCTCTCCTTGACCTCCTGGACGAGGCTTGGCAAGGCTTACCATTGTCTCTCCTTGACCTCCTTGACGCTGAGGCTTAGCTTCTGTGTGACAATGACACCTTCTATAGGAGGCAGAGCTCCTGTGTTGCTCTTGCTCCTGATGGACGTCCTGGACGAAGCTTAGCAATTGTATTACACTGACAGGTGTAACTTGTGTATTACACTGACACTTGACGGACCTTCTTTGGGAGGTGAAGCTTCTAAGTTTCACTGACAGGTAATGGATCTCCTGGGCAAAGCTAAGCTTGTGTTACACTGACATGCATAACTTATGTATTATACTGACACCTGACAAACCTTTCGAAGACGAAGCTCTGGTCTTACACAGCTCACCTGATTGATACCCTGGACGAGTCTCTGTGTTTCATTGACATTTGACAGACCTTCTTTGGGAGGTGAAGCTCCTGATGAATCTCCTGGGCAAAGTTTAGCTCTTGTGTTACACTGACAGGCTCAACTTGTGTATTGCACCGACACCTGACAAACCTTTAGGAGACGAAGCTCCTGTGTTACACAGCTCAAGTGATGGACATCCTTGACGAGTCTCTGTGTTTCATCGACCTCTGACGGACCTTCTTTAGGAGGTGAAGCTCCTGGTGGATCTCCTGGGCAAAGTTAAGCTCATGTATTACAAACCTTTAGGAGGTGAAGCTCCTGTGTTACACAGCTCAACTGGTGGACATCCTGGACGAGGCTCTGTGTTACACCGACATCTGACAGACCTTCTTTCGGAGGTGAAGCTCCTGATTGACCCCCTGGACGAGGCTGATCAGCTTCTGTGTTTCATAGACATCTGACGGACCTTCTTTAGGAGGTGAAGCTCCTGATGGATCTCCTAGGCAAAGTTAAGCTCTTGTGTTACACTGACAATTACCTTGGAGGAGATGTAGAAATCTTTTAAGGACTTGCGTGCAATTTGAATAGCAATTAATTATCTGCAATCTGGATAAGTGTATACCAGTTAAGTGTATACCAGTACACGTCAACTGAATAGCATTATAGTCAGTGTATATTGTGTATAGCAATGTAGATATTACTGAACTACAACAGACTTTCAGTATGTCCCAGAATATTGCATGTCAGTGATTTTACATGGATTTAGAATATAGGGATAATTATATGTGGAATGATCTCAACTGTGTCTAGGGACACAAAACGATCTTGCCAGTTTCACAGAATGTCACCCTTCAGGACACAACATACCAGGAAACTTGTGCTATGTGGTCTGTAGTAATACTGATCCTCAGAAAATATTGAACAGTTTCAACATTGAGTAAGTTAACGGTATATGTAGTATTCTGTACATTTGTACTGTCACTGCCAGGAAACAAATCTTTGTACTGTCACTGCCAGGAAACAAATCTAAGTGTTTAAATATAAAGATCAACCAAGTGCTCCTGTTGTTTCCAGTTCAATATAGACAGAACTAGTTCAGAAAATTGGTGTGATTGTACATGCATGCAAACACCAAACACATTACACTCGTAAATTAGAATACTGAATTTCCTCTCCACAGCGACAATGCATCATGATTTAGCACAAAATCTTTTTAATAACTTCAAGGAATATAGTTATTACTATTTAGCAGTTATCATAAATTAGTGCTTTTTAACTAAGTAGTACAAAAAAACACCAAGGTATGATAACTGGTAAATTAATGATGTTTACTGTTGTTCATTGCCAATGTGGTGTTACAGTTTGCTGACAGTGATGTATTTGAACGAACTTGTGTTCAGATGTCTCCTGATCTTTGTTATTTATATGTCCATGTCTCTATGTGTGATATTTATGTCCTGATATTGTCACTAGGTTTCTTTAATGATTTCAATAAAATGATGACAGTTATTAGGTGTCAAGTTCCAAAGAGACTGACCTCTCTCAAAATGTGTCATGTGATGAATCATGTGATGTGTCACATGATCAGTCAGATGTTTTCACCAAAGTCTGGTATCAAGGTCACGTTGTAAAACTGTTTGTAACATGGACATGTAAGTATGGTGTTAGTCATTTTATGTACATAAGTGCTGTAAGATTATTATGGTGCAGTGTGTAAACTTTTTCTGTATTTGTTACAGTGTCATTGTGTGGGAATTCCAGATTAGGTAGCGTGTAAAGAATTTTTGATTGAGAATGAATGCTGAATACCGTAGATTTAATGTGTGTATGTTATAGCACCATAGTCTGATGAGGAGGTCATTATGTAAATAAGATAATTGTTTGTAAGATGAATATGACGTTAATTATTATATGTACATTACAGTGCTGTAAAATTATTGTTATGATGCACTGAGGTTTTCAGAAAACCAGTCTGTTCTGTCCTTTTTATATGTCATTGTGGGAATACCAAACAGGTACCGTTTAGTGTTGTCATATTGGAATAAAAACTGAATACCTACCTGAGAGTGTATGACTTTATGAGGGGGAGCATGCATTATTTCATATGTGTTTTGGGGACCATTTGTTACTTTGTATAAAGCCAGTCAACTGCTGACTCATCATGTGTTTTATGGTACATATTGTTTTTGAATCTTCAAACCAAACACAGAAACCCTGCAGAGACATGGTCCAAGTGGCTGTATGACGTGTTGTAGTGTTTAGCCTCTATGGTCCAAGTGGCTGTATGACGTGTTGTAGTGTTTAGCCTCTATGGTCCAAGTGGCTGTATGACGTGTTGTAGTGTTTAGCCTCTATGGTCCAAGTGGCTGTATGACGTGTTGTAGTGTTTAGCCTCTATGGTCCAAGTGGCTGTATGACGTGTTGTAGTGTTTAGCCTCTATGGTCCAAGTGGCTGTATGACGTGTTGTAGTGTTTAGCCTCTATGGTCCAAGTGGCTGTATGTCGTGTTGTAATGTTTAGCCTCTATGGTTCAGTCATCTGTCTGTCTGGTTTTTTAAGGTATTTAGCAAATATCATTGAAGCTAAAACACATCAGTTGTGAGTATTTATAGTAAGGAAATTCTAAATGTTACAAATAATTAGGCTTTGATTGAGAAGTGCTTCCTGATGACCTAGAAGATACCCAGTATATACCTCAGTTTGTTCAAAAACAATTGGAACAAATTCTGTTTCAATATCAAAAATTGCATTCTTAGGATAACAAAAGGTACCACATCCAGGTGTAATAATTTAATGTTAGTTATTGGAAGAAGGTGTTTTTAAATCAGCCATAATTGTTAGAGCTTTGGGGTGTAGATATGGAATAGGAGGGACTATGGTTAAAGATGACCATTACATATTGATGTTTTTCAGTACTGCTTGCCAAGTTTAAACACATTTGATGAAGAACTCTGTAACAACCAACATTAGGTGTAAATTAAGATTTGATGTAAAACCAGGATTGTTTTAGTATTTCAGTATTGGTTATAGAATTGAGATTTGTTATCTTGTTCATTGAAATGTTTTGTTTAAGTTAAAACTTTAATTATTTTGACATGTTAAATGTTTTTGTTATGTATTATAGATTTATTGTTCTGTCATTCAAGTCCTCTGCCGCATTCTTTGTTTTAAATTCAGCGTTTTCTGTTTTTATCTCACTTCACTGCTGTATAATCAGAATATTCTTGTTGCTACTTCCTTTTTTTTGCAGTAAAGTATGGATTTTTACTCATCTTACTTTTTTAAGAACTGTACAGCAGTAACTTCAGAAAAATACGACCTTTTATGATATTAATTTGGGAAAAGTTAGTAAAATCATTAAATAATGATTAAACTACAATTAGTTAGCACTTATGTAGGGACTTAAAGTAGAAATGTAATATATATAAACATGTAAATTGTAAATTTCAATTAGGATACAAGCCTAATTATCCAATTTTCCCCTGGAATTGGCTTATCAGAATTAAACTAAAATAATGCTATACAGATCAATATCTTAATGTTGATGTTTATGAAATACTTGCCATACTTACTGATTTGCCGTTTGGTAATACCTCCTGTATCAGTTTTGTTCTGCTTGGTTAGTTTCACTGTAATGTACCACACTGACCTGGCAGAGTACAACAGGGCATTGGACTAACCAAGATCACCCTAAACTGCAAATCAATAGTTAAGCTTTGAAACTATTATATTTAATGCTTCATAACATTCCATACTAACATTCTAAAAGACTGAACATTTTAGTTACTAACAGTGGTATTTCATATCGGATATTAAAGTTGAATAATCTGACTTGAAACATTAACCATTAAAAAAAGGCAATAAAGAAGTTAGCTGGTTAAATGTGAATATTTGATATAAACTTACTTATTATTGATCTGATGTTCTACATGTGAGTATATGAAGTATCTGTAATATTGCTCTGTGATAGGATTTGTATCTGTTTACATGGTGTGCATGCCGATGATGAAAGACACTGTTGTAAATTTCACTTAAACCAGAGATTATCGATCTTTTCATGTCTACAAAACACCAATTGTTTACACAACAACCAACCATTCTGTTTGTAAGGTCTAATACACCGATAGGTTTGAGCTGTGATATAAGTGTGTAATGATGGGTCCGTGTTCATGAAACCGTTCTCATACTCAAGCCCACTTTCTTCAATCATGTAACATGGTCAAAAATTCTAGTGTAAACACCGTAAATTATTACAGAAAATGTATTACAGAAAAGTTGAAGAAAGAAAGTTGGCTTGAGCACAGACTCTGGGTTTGAACATGAGAACGGTTTCATGAAGACAGGCCCTGGTATGTGTAATTCTGTATTTACTGATGATACCTGTTCAGAAATTAAGCCTGCCTCATTGTTATACAAACTTTAAGCATTGGGGTCATTACTAGAAATACCTATTTGTGTAAACATGGTCAGTACTAAGTACATACATGGATTGTTTATGGTGTATTTAATACAGTATGCATTAAGTGTTGTCATGTACTTGACTCTTAGTAACCAATATCAGCTGCTGAATGGATATTTTATGTTGTGTTCAAAGTGCTTGGTGAATCTAGTGTGTAGTCTTGGTACATTTAAACCTCGTTGGTCTGCATGCTTTTATAACAGTGAACCTCATTGGTCTGCATGCTTTATAACAGTGAACTCCATTGGTCTGCATGCTTTATAACAGTGAACCCCATTGGCCAGCATGCTTTATTACTGCGAACACCATTGGTCTACATGCTTTATAACAGTGAACCCCATTGGCCAGCATGCTTTATAACAGTGAACCCCATTGGCCAGCATGCTTTATAACAGTGAACCCCATTGGCCTGCATGCTCTATTACAGTAAATCTCATTGGTCAGCACGCTCTATTAAAGTGAACACCATTGGCCCTTACAGAAAACCTCATTGGTCTGCACACTATTACAGTGAACCCCATTGGCCAGCATGCTTTATTACAGAAAACCTCATTGGTCTGCACACTATTACAGTGAACCCCATTGGCCAGCATGCTTTATTACAGAAAACCTCATGGGTCTGCACGCTTTATTACAGTGAACCCCATTGGCCAGCATGCTTTTATTACAGTAATCATCACTGGCCAGCATGCTTTATTACAGTAAACCTCATTGACCAGCATGCTTTACTACAGTAAACCTCATTGGCCAGCATGCTTTATTACAGTAAACCTCACTGGCCAGCATGCTTTATCAGAATTGAACTCATTTGTCAGTATTCTTTATCAGAATGATCATCAATGGTCTGCATGCTACCTTGAGCAACACTGAAAAAAGTAGTTAAATACTAATGAAGGGATTTTAACCTTTTTAGGGATGAAACATTTCTTGATATGATAATTCAAAGTTAGATATTAAGAAGTGGGTTCACCCTGAGAGTAGTGGGTTGGACCCAGAAGTATTTCTCTTATATTGCCCTACCAAGTGTACTGTGTTGTTATTGTAATTGTAAGGCCCAACAAGAAATCCAAGATGGCTACCGTGGTTTTAGAAACTTGTGAAACTTGTTCAAATAACAATAAAAACTGAGTGGAATACACCCTATTGACTTGTTATATAATATCAGTGTAAGAGTTCGTTGTGTACCACCATACATTCATGTTTGTAAGTATGCTAAGTTTAGCTTGGGTTACCAAAGGATAAAAGATTGTGTATGTTTTATGTGGTTAGAAGTTTGATACATTTAAGTAAAGAATAAGTAATCAAAGGATGAAAGGATGTACATGTGCACTATTTACCGTCATACCATCATTCTGGTACAATGTCAGTAAGGTTTACGTAACCAAAAGGACGAGTGTACATGTACTTTGATTTCCTTGTTGTATTGCAATATGCACAGCGATGTGTGTTAGTCAAGATTACAAATAAACTTCTATTTACACTGTCACTTTGTTGTTTATTTTTGTCCTTCACTTTGTTGTTTACTTGTGTCCAGCTGGTCTATGTGTAGCGTCATTTGATCTCCAAAGTTTCTGAGATTGTTCTCCTTTTTTCTGCCGAACGCTATCAAATCAATTCAATTTGGACACTATTGGCCATCAGACGTGCATAAATATGGCACAGCTTACAGAAGTAAGCAGAAATTAATGATAAACATTAAATATTTAAATAATAGATAGATAGTACAGGAAACGACAGTGATTGGTTAGAAAGTACCTAAATTTCAAGAAGAATGATTTTGGTTTCTAGCATCTTTGATCAAGGTAAAAGCTAAATTGGCAAAACTAGGTAACAGGAAGATCTTTCTAACGAAGTTTGAGATGGACGTACACTTCTATGTTTGAGATAGACATACACTTCTATGTTTGAGATAGACATACACTTCTATGTTTGAGACATACACTTCTATGTTTGAGATAGACATACACTTCTATGAGAAATGGCGATAGCGACTAACATGGTCAAACTTAATTAAGATGCCTTTTCACCATTTCCCCTCCGTCCCATAAATCTCCAAAAGATCCATCTAATATATCTTGAAAACGAGCTACAATAAACTTTATCTGTCATCAAAGATGGCACCCTTGCTGCAATTTTCTTCTTTGGATCAGTGTCAAAATTGAATGCCTAAGATATTTGAAATCCAGTACTTTTTAGAGAAACACCGGTAGAATTGTTTAATGACGGATCACTGATGAACGGCCCATCGCTTACTGTGTAGAGTAAACTAGTGGAACACATCAACTCGGGATGAACAAAGTCACATCATTAATTACCTTCAGCACAGTTTTCGAAAAGGAATTTCGGAAAAAAAAATCTGTCTGAGTTATCGGGGCTAGTACATTTCATGGGATGAGGTCGAACCTACAAGTTCGGGAAGCCTGGTCGAACATCCCTTACACAGCGAGGGAAAATGGCTCGACTTGTCAAAAGTGACAGCGACCTTGTTGCATCATGAAAGACAAACCGATCCCATAAAGTAAAACTCCTCATTCGAACTCAAAAACAATGAATATTGGGCAAAATATGGAGGAGGGAACGACTTTTACGGAGACCTTTGAAAAATTAGAAATGTGTCTTCTGCTTCACCGACTACACTCGTCTTGTAAATCTAGATTAAGTCCTTCTAAAAGTGTGAACTAGAGTAATAATAACAGCAGTAACCGAACTAGAGTAATAACAACAGCAGTAACCATGAGTATAACTAAAAACGTCAATATTCATTTCGCACAGAGATAATAGTGTTGGAGATGATGACGACGACCGCTGAAAATCTAGCCACCGAACTCCGCAAAGAAACTGCCAATGTTTGTTAACAAATGTTCCTAAACAATTCATAGCTACATACTTAGATTGTCATTATCTTCTCCCTGGAAAGAAAAGTTTTCACAATAAGAAAACCAAAGTGTTCCTCCAGTTTGGTATGAAGTACAGTGTAGAAAAGTTAAGGCTGTTAAAGATGGATCAAATGAGATTCGAGTTCTCGAAAGTCCCCATTCTATTTTTTTTACACCCGTCAAATTTGACGGAAGTACATGTATTATGGTATGGGGTTGTCCGGCCAGCCGGCGTAAACTTTTGTTTGTCCGGCAATCTCCTTTTACATTTTTCAACTCATCTCTTTGAAACTTGGTATACATTATATTCATAATATGAAGTTGTTTCTCCCTTAAAAGAATTTTGATTCGACAATTTTTCCAAAAGTTATTGCCTTTTGTTCATTTCAGTATTTGATTTTTTGTCCGGCAATCTCCTCCAACATTTTTCGACCGATCTCTTTGAAACTTGGTATACATTATAATCATGATATGAAGTTGTGTCTCCCTTAAAAGAATTTTGATTCGACAATTTTTCCAAAAGTTATTGCCCTTTGTTCATTTCAGTATTTGATTTTTTGTCCGGAGATCTCTTCCTACATTTTTTGATGGATTTCTTTGATACTTAGTATACATTATAATCATGACATAATGTTGTGTTTCCCTTAAAAGAATTTTGATTCGACTATTTTTGCAAAATAAAAAAGGCCTTTCTTTATTTCAGTATTAATTTTTTGTCCGGAGATCTACATTTTTTGATCGATTTCTTTGAAACTTTGTAGGCTTTATAATCATGATATCAAGTTGTGTTTAATGAGTTGGAGACTAAGCTTTTGATTACTTGTTTTCCTCAAACTGTTAGAAAATTAAAGAAAATCGAACATTGACTTTGTATTGAAAGGTGAGATTTATAGCATGCTAGCTAGCGCTTAAGGTGATGCAAATCTTATTTAAATGCAAGATAGTATTTAACACTATATGGCATTCGACGAGCGTATATTGTTCCGCCCTAGCTGCGATACTTGACTTGTTTCTCCTTCAAGACTGTAGAGTGTCACAATACAACTGCAACCCTGATTTAAAGAATGGTAGGAAGAAGTTTGAATAATATCTTAGCTGAACAATCAGTAAAACGTTGTGAAGCTTCGATATCCAATACGAAAGAAACATGTATTTACCCTAAATCATTAATCATTAATGGATATAAGGAAAGAATATAATATAGAAGCATAATTAGCCAGTTATTGTAAATGTACACCAAGGGTTTCCATGGATATAGTAAGCCTAGTTATCTTTACAAGCAGAAAATGTCAGATAATTATTTGTTTAGTCTATCGACACAACCACATGCTTGTCATGCATATCGTTAAGTGTAGTTGTCATGCATATTGTTAAGTGTAGTTGTCATGCATATCATTAAGTGTAGTTGTCATGCATATCGTTAAGTGTAGTTGTCATGCATATCGTTAAGTGTAGTTGTCATGCATATTCATTAAGTGTAGTTGTCATGCATATCATTAAGTGTAGTTGTCATGCATATCGTTAAGTGTAGTTGTCATGCATATCATTAAGTGTAGATTGGATTTTAAGCTGCTAATTCATATTTGATGGTACCAGTAACCAAAATAACTTTTAATAGCTTTTTGACCTTTGAATTGGTGTATCCGTGTATGTGCAAAACATCCAAAAAATAGCAGTATCCTGTTATAGGAAGCTATGATCTGAACGAAAAAGTAAAGAGTAGTTAAATAGGGACTATCATACATACATCACAAGTCTTTTACGGATGTCGACCATACAAAAGAGAACTTGAATGAGTCATCTAACTAATAAACGTAAAGTCAACTTTTACAAATAACCTTATTTGTTTTATTGTGAATGTGTTGTGTAGACCTGTCACCATAACACCGTTGTGTATGTGTTGAGTAGACCAGTCACCATTACACCATTGTGTATGTGTTGTGTAGACCAGCCACCATTACACCATTGTGTATATGTTGTGTAGACCAGTCACCATAACACCATTGTGTATACAAGTTACCATAACACCATTGTGTATACAAGTCACCATAACACCATTGTGTATGTGTTGTGTAGACCAGTCACCATTACACCGTTGTGTATGTTGTGTAGACCAGTCCCCATTACACCATTGTGTATGTCTTGTGTAGACCAGTCACCATTACACCGTTGTGTATGTGTTGAGTAGACCAGTCACCATTACGCCATTGTGTATGTGTTGTGTAGACCAGCCACCATTACACCATTGTGTATGTGTTGTGTAGAATAGTCACCATTACACCATTGTGTATGTGTTGTGTAGAACAGTCAACATTACACCATTGTGTATGTGTTGTGTAGACCAGTCCCCATTACACCGTTGTGTATGTTGTGTAGACCAGTCCCCATTTCACCATTGTGTATGTGTTGTGTAGACCAGTCACCCTTACACCATTGTGTATGTGTTGTGTAGACCAGTCACAATTACACCATTGTGTATATGTTGTGTAGACCAGTCACCATAACACCATTGTGTATACAAGGTACCATAACACCATTGTGTATACAAGTCACCATAACACAATTGTGTATGTGTTGTGTAGACCAGTCACCATTACACCGTTGTGTATGTGTTGAGTAGACCAGTCACCATTACACCATTGTGTATGTGTTGTGTAGACCAGTCGCCATTACACCGTTGTGTATGTTGTGTAGACCAGCCACCATTACACCATTGTGTATGTGTTGTGTAGAATAGTCACCATTACACCATTGTGTATGTGTTGTGTAGACCAGTCCCCATTACACCGTTGTGTATGTTGTGTAGACCAGTCCCCATTACACCATTGTGTATGTCTTGTGTAGACCAGTCACCATTACACCGTTGTGTATGTTGTGTAGACCAGCCACCATTACACCATTGTGTATGTGTTGTGTAGAACAGTCAACATTACACCATTGTGTATGTGTTGTGTAGACCAGTCACCATTACACTGTTGTGCATGTTGTGTAGACCAGTCACCATTACACCGTTGTGTATGTGTTGTGTAGACCAGTCACCATTACACCATTGTGTATATGTTGTGTAGACCAGTCACCATTACACTGTTGTGTATATGTTATGTAGACCAGTCACCATTACACCGTTGTGTATATATTTTCGGTTGGTAACATTGAAGTGGTGAAGAGTGAAGCTACCAGATGAGAAATACAGTACGGCATCCTATTCAGTATTCATAGTCTAGGTTTTTTTAAAGGTGGTTTCCTGTTGATTGTCATATTTTTTTCTATTTAAAAGATACAAACATTGTGTTTATGTTCCCGAAAACAAAGGATCTTCCTATAAATACCACCAGTTAAAGAAACATTTTTAAGTGCTAGAATAGATTCAGACTTTGTTCAGACTCGAATTAGTCAATTCTATTAACAGAGTAAGTAAAAGTATGGATGTGGATATATATATATTGATCAAACATGATGAGGCAAGTGTAAAGCTGCCAACCCTACAACTTGCAAATAGACTTGTCCTTTATTCCACAAATATTTACCATGTGCCCTGGTTAGTTGAGCGTGTTCAGGTGGTATAAGTCCATATATTTTGAAGCATAGGAAAACACAATAAGATCACTTGATGATATCACACTACATACGATAGAAGTAGAAATGTTCACATTTTTAGGTCACCTGAGACAAAGTCTCAAGTGACCTATTGCAATCGTCTTTTGTCCGTCGTCGTCCGGCGTGCGTCCGTAAACAATTTACATTTTCGACTTCTTCTCCAAAACCCCTGAACCAATTTCAATGAAATTTTGCAGGAACCTTCCATGGACAAAGGTCAACAAAAATAGTGGCCGGTTTAGTCCCAAGCCCCCAGGGGCCTGAGGGGCGGGGCCAAAAAGGGTCAAATTGACTAAAATTTCAAAAATCTTCTTCTCCAAAACCCCTGAACCAATTTCAATGAAATTTTGCAGGGACCTTCCATGGACAAAGGTCAACAAAAATTGTTGCCGGTTTAGTCCTAAGCCCCCAGGGGCCTGAGGGGCGGGGCCAAAACGGATTGAATTGACTAAAATTTCAAAAATCTTCTTCTCAAGACCCAGATATGGTAGAATCAAATACTCTTCATTCTTCATAGATGGAAGGGTCTTAAGGTTTATGACCCTAGAGTCTCACGTTTACCCCCTGGGGAAGGGGGGGGGGGGCAAAATTTATTATAGTTTATAATGGTAAATGATACTTTGAATATTACATGTTAATAACTTGATTGGAATTATAACCTTGAATTGACAGTTTGATACTTTGAAAATTTTGAGCCAGCCCTACCCCCAAGGGCTGTAGGGTAGGGCTCAAAGGAGTCAGTGTGCTAAAATTTCTTTATTTTCCTTGTTAAGAATCAGAGGTGCTAGTTTCAAATCCTTTTTAGTCTGAAATCTGTATGCTAGATATTGAGTAAGGTGGTTTTATTGTTTTTTGTCACTTTGAATAATATTTCTGTTCATGTTAAAAACAAAATCAACTCTCTGTATAAATATATCAGGTGACCGTTAAGGCCCATGGGCCTCTTGTTCATGTTGTGATATTTATCTATAGATTATACAGATTAAAGATAAAAAGAATATTTATCTATAGATTATACAGATTAAAGATAAATAGATTATACAGATTAAAGATAAATAGATTATTCAGATTTCAGAGCTATTGACAACAAGAAAATTTCCACACAACAATCATTTTAACACATTCAACCCTGAAGACACATTTGAACTCTTCCAATTCAAATGTTGGAACAGTTCATTATGAAATTTCAGGGGTGAATGAATTATTGGGACACAATGTGAACATTTTTAGTTCTACAGTATGTTATGTACCTGTTTTAAATAGATTACAACGAAATTCATGTCAATAATGTTTGAAATAATTCCAATATTAATTCTTCATGTAATTCTGCTTCAAGCGACACATCTTCAAAATCTAAAGGCTGCAACTCTTGATATACACATCTACCCCACACCTTCGGAAAATATTACAAAATTGAAGACTCGTGGTCAGTTATTTGATTGGTTTCAGGTGTAAATATACTGACAAATCGCTAGGCTGAAACCTGTCCTTTGAAGATTACAGACAGGCTACACATCAACTTACAAGCCAGTCATTTTTAATGGTGGTTACCATTCCTTTCATCCTGATCAAAGACATCCTACTAGTTTATTCCTGCAGTGTATCATCCACAAGTTTGCACGTATTAAGCTTTACATTTTGCCCGAACATATTTCAAAGGTGTAGAAAAGGTATAAATCATGAAAGAGGATTTTGAAAATGCAGATGACAGCAATGAGATAAAATTATCAGGACTATTTTTAACAATTTTCTTTAATATCTTTCTGTTTTTTGTTCTTCTTTTTCTTTTTCTTCTTTAGCTTCATACATCCGTTGTCCTCTATAAGAGTTCTGTCAATGTCTGTACCCTCTACATTTGACACACAGTCTTTTCTAGGTGAAGAATCTTTGCCATTTTGGTGACAATTAGCTTCTGTGGCTTTTATAACAACAGATTGGTTTTCCTGAGAACCAAACGAAATCTTGCTTTGCTTGATTATAAAGTCATGTGACACCGCTGCTGCAGCCAATCGCTTGTCTTCCTCAGAACTGAAGTAGAACACAGTAATAAAACTTCAATCATTTTTAAGAATGACATATTGTAATTATTTATTCAATGCTATATGACTGCTATGATCCCATGTGATTTTTAATTAACAGTTCTTGATGGTCATGATGAGATGCCTTACATGAACTTTACATGAATCAATGCAATGCAATAGGAATTTTGAATTTTGAATTGTTTTTATTTCTTTTGGTATTGTTTTAAAGCCAATTTACAGACTACATGTTTACTGTATACTGTTAAAAGGACTTAGATTGCTAATATGATAAGCTTCAGTAACCAGAGCCTGACCAGATACAGGACTTTGTTTTAAGGCCCTTTGACTAATTAAATCATCTAGGACAATAAATACTGTAAAAATAGACACTCACAAAAAACAGACAACCAAAAAAATAGACACTCACAAAAAAATAGACACTCACAAAAAGAAATACATCAAACTTAAACTAAAAGGTTATGAAGTAAAATATGCAAAAAACATCAATAGCAAACAAACTGGTCGTAAAATATATGGCATCTTACCATTAAGATCAAATTAATATAAATAATTGTATATTGATTGCACAGAAACTGTTTTAAACTTTTATAGACGGTACATCAATGAATATAAGAAAACCCCTGTATCAGTATATCCACCTATCACTACTGCTATCCCTGGCTCTTCTTCTCCTGGGAACAGGCCTCTTCCGTAGTGGTACTGGTACGTCTTCTGGGTTACAATCAGTCGTTAAGTGATGCCTTGATCCAAAGCACAGTCTTATACCTATCAAAACATGAAAAGTAATGCAAGAAATACTTAGCTAGAATTCTATTCTTTAGGGTTAGGGTTAGTATGAACTCTTTAATAAAAAAAATAACTAAATGTTCAAATTTGTTATCAAATTACTCCTATTAAATTAAATACCTGTGTCCTCATAACCAGCGGCATTCAGATTTCCGTTTTCAATCTCTTCCTCTTCTACCTCTCTGCAAAAAAATTTTTAAGTCCAGTTTGAGAAAATTTTATTTGCAAAGAAGTCAACTGTTTTTTAGGGAATTCTCTTTGCTAAACAGGTTAATGTATTTGTTTGCCTCGAGTGGGCCTTATCCCTAAACAAGAATTCCACGGAAGTGGATGTGTCGCCTGCGCAGGAAGCTGGGAGATTACGAAGAAATAGATACACTTATTTCAAGAAATAATGTTAAAAGTAAGCAATAATCATAGATTATGTTTTTGGATGGCATCATTTTGTTATATAATCTGTTATTCTAGGAAGAATACTCTGAGTTTTAAGGAACTTGCTATGGATACTCATTGTCTCAATTCCAAGTTTAATTTGTATGATTTGTCGGATGGTTTCCCATAAATAAATGAATAAACTTGTGGATTATGATGTTAAACAGCTAGTGTTGTCAATAACATTTGGAGTAAGACGGCATTTCAGAGGTATACACGGTGGGTCAAGTGGTAGATCGAAGCCGTCCAGTATACAGTTTTAGTGAAGTTTCTATTTATAGTAACAGTGACCTTGACCTTTGACCTTCGGACCTGAAAAGCAATCCCAAGCAAGCACTTTTGGTAAGGAAGCACTGCATGACGTTTGAGTTTGATCGGCCCAAGAAAACTCAAGTTATCGCACGAAAACAGATTTTCTATTTATAGTAACAGTGACCATGACCTTTGACCTTCGGACCTGAAAAGCATTCCCAAGCAAGCACTTTTGGTAAGGAAGCACTGCATGAAGTTTGAGTTTGATCGGCCAAAGGAAACTCAAGTTATCGTACGAAAACCTCTGTTCACACGTTGCCGCCACTGCCGCCGCCGACAAAGCAATACCTATGTGTCACCAGCTTTTCGCAGGCGACACAAAAAGCATGTCAGTAGTTTAAGATTTTTTTAAAACATACACTGAACTGTACATATAGTAAATATAAACACATTGTGTTTGCTGTCATCAATTAAATATTTTAAGAAAATGATGTTGCAGATTAATTGAGTAGAATGTCATTCTCATGGTAAATTATAATAGTGAAACACTAAATATTGGTATTAATAGAAAGTGGGGGGAAAAAATGCTTATTTCAGCCTGAACAAATTTCTGATTGTTTTGGCATATTCTCAAAAAATGTTGGTAGGAACATCTCAACATCAAAAAGGTTGTCCTTTCGTTAGGACATCTCTACAATAGAAGTCTAACTTCATCTACCTTCTAATCATTTGAGATTTGTGGTGATGTGTTACAGTTGTAGCAATATTCGGCTTTAAATAGAAACTGGACAGAAAAACCGATTACCAGGTATATATATAAACAATCCTTGAGATACACAAGGATACTGACGAGATATAAACTGGATATCGTGTGAAGATTGTAAGACAACATGGTAGGGATAATACATACTGATCAAGCATCTGTGATAATTTCTTCGCCACAAACGCCTTAAACTCTGGAGTTGTGTTCAGGTCGTTCCTATCATGTTCTATTGTTTGAGATGGTCTGCAAGAAAAAACATATACAGGTTAATTTTACTAATAATTTATCAAACAACATCTAAAACTATAAACAAACAAAAATCATACATTAAAAACAACAACAAAATACCATAGTAAAGAGGAAAGATAAACAAATACCTTTTTGATGGGATATTTGGAATAGACCTATTTCTTGAAACTGCTGGCTGAATTTCTACAAAAATAAAGAAATCATATATTACAACATATGTTTTTGGTGTAAATATATAAAACTTTCAAAATTAATATACCAAGTTAGCCATTAGTTAAACAAGATCTTTTTTGCACAACAAATGACAGATAAGTTATGATGAAATTGCTAAAAACGAAAAAAAAACATATGGTAATTAGTGTCGTTTATAAGTGCAATAGCTTTCACACGGTATTACACCCATTTACGAGGGGAGACAATCTGTTGTCAGATATTTCATATGTTCATCGATATTTTGTCTTAGACAATTTAAACGTTTACACAAACCAATAGGAAACATCTACTGAGAACATGTGCGCTGTGCCGAAACACAACAATGCCAATAGCAGTGTCAGATATATATATATAAATCCCCAATATTGCAATAAACCACAGGGGTTCGTTTTTAATATCTTACCAATAGGCCCCACTTTTGGTTCTGCTGACTTAACAATGGTTTTAATGTCTATAGCTGCATCTAACAAACGCTGGCGTTGAGTTTCATCCTCAATCGAGCTGTCGGAATCAGAATCGGAGGCCATGTTTTATGCGATTCATATAATTTGCGAAACGCACTTCCGTTCCAGTATCTTGAACGAAACGATAACCTATTAAAAAGAAATTAACGTTATCGACGACAAAATGACGTAAGTTGTCTGTTCCTGGCATGGGTATCTGTTAGGGATTTCTGTTTCTGAGAGCACCTCTACAGAACGTATGCACACCTATGCACCTATGTAAGTAAAAGTTGCATGGTTTAAATGACATTTTCTTCTACTGTAGGGAAACGAGACATATATACATGTATAGTTATAATTATGTTGCAAAACAGATCATTTTGAGTCTAAAAATAGTGTATGCATTGTGCTTCGTTCCAATGGTTGGTTTTATGTCGGTATCTATTCGCATAGGCATATACAGCAGTACTGCCGTTATTATAAAAATTGTGTAACTTCTACCTCACTTTTTATGAGTCAAATTTTCGGCTTCTTTCGTTAATTCAAGCAATCTCGGGTGACATAAGTTAAATTGCGTGCTTCTTTTGACGTAACAGTACCAATGTGCTCTGGGGAAGATATTGCACGATAGAATTAATATTGGAATTAGCGCACCGTATGATTGGTTTTCACAAAGTGTTTATTGTATAGCATTTCTCAGCATTAAATGTAAAAAAATCAATTATGTTATATCCACGATTAAAACTACTAAAAAATAAATCAATCAAAGATATTCACGATCAAAACATATTTATTTTATATTTACGATTGCCCAATATCCAAATTGATTTGGAGCAGGATGTTATACGTTGACCAGCTGTATATTTATGTGGGATAAAGTGACAAGTTTTGATTTTTTTTTATAATCTGCACTTCGAATAAGTATTAAATAACAAATGTGTGTTCATATTAAAATTATAAAAGAATCCGAAAAGTTAACTCAATTACTGAGTCCATATAATACCACACTAATACTGTCATAGATAATGTAATAGTGAGGGAGAATACGATGTAGCTGTCACACTACTACCAAAGTCTGAAACAAGCCTTTTAATTGCAGGGAGGGTTTTAATGTGTACAGCTAAGAGCACAGTAATTTTAATGGCATATCAAGTAACGATCAAAACACAACAGATGAATAGCCTGATATCTGAATCCTGCTCAAGCATCACATGACCCTGGCTGTTGCGAGGACGTTAAACCACAAACAAACAAACAACTACTCGAGGGCTACTTTAAAGTGTCATCATACTGAAGTGTCTTAACCTGGACACAGTATCATGTCAGTCCACTCGTCATACTCCGACAACGGGCCTACCGCCAGAGTCATGTCACTATACTGAAAAGAAAGCGTCTACAAGGGAAAAGAAAGTGGTCCAATGCGGACAGCAAATCAAATTAGGATTTTCCAATGTACCCTAAGCAGAAGACATATACTACTACTAGTATGCCCCATTATCTTGATCCCGAGTCAAAGTCTGAGTGTTTTATTAACCTGTAACGTATCAGTATGGCTATACTCTAGGAAGACCAATGGATGCACGGTGTTTTTTTCAGATTGAAGATATTACTACAAATGTACTTTTGAACAAATTGCTGCTTTCTTTTGATGCTTGTTATTTCATGAATATTAACATGTTTAAATTCCTCACGAATTACCGCATTAGTGGCTTGTTTTGATACACCGATCATATATTAACGTTGCCTTCCAAGTTGTTCACATGTTCCGTAAGTTTTCATTTTATATTCAAAAGACAAGTAGATCTCGTGCAATATTTCGAAAGGAAGCTAATTATAGTACAGTGTATTGATAACGGCTTTTGAATTACCGAAATTAATAACATCAATATCTTACTAAAGAAACTGCAATGCGAAAACATTTTTTTCCTATGGCAGATAAAGGCAAATTTGTCGGATTGAAAAAAAATATCTATAAATGAATCAGATATCAATATAATGAAATAAAGCTACAATAACATATAATTTTGAATTTGCGTCTAAAACGGAACTTTCTGCAAACAAACATTATTTGGAAGTTGTAAAATAGGCAATGTAAGTGAACATTGTGTTTTGTATTTCAGGCTAACACGAGGGATTGATGATTTATTCTAAATCAACAGGCCGCACAGATGCCAAGAAAGCGATGGCCGGATATAATTCAAATGTTAACCATAACTATATGAGCATTTTGGCGGAAATGGCTTAAGTCGGTATGACCAATCTAACATTGTTGATGTCCAGCTGGCACAAATAACTTCCTCAGAATGTTGGCGGGAATGACAGAGCGTCGTTATGACCAATCGTCCTCTATTAACCAGCTGCTCCTGGCTGCAACATCGCTCGATACTTCACGATTGCGTGCACTGCTTGATGCAGGTGCAGACGTGAACGCCCGGAACGAGGTTGGACAGACGCCTCTCCTGTCGGCATCCCTTAACAACATGGTAGAATCGTGTCGTCTGCTCCTTGAAAAAGGTGCGGACATCAAACACAGTGATGTCGGTGGTTATACCGCTTTACACCTGACCCAATCGGCTGAAGTGTCCGAGCTAGTTTTATGCCAGGCAAGTTTTCAAGACAGAAAAGATGAAATCGTCAATATGCGAACCAAAGAAGGAAGGACACCATTACACGAGGCAGTCTTGCATGGGCCGTTAGACCGCGTGACTTTTTTACTTAAGCACAATGCTCTTGTAGATGCTGAAGACGAAGACTTGACCACCCCGTTGCATTATGCTTTTAGTGTTTGGGACAAATCCGAGGAGTTGATACAAATAATTGAACGATTACTTGAAGCCGGAGCTGATGTTAATAGACAAACTGCCTTCTTGAAAACCCCGCTGCTTTTGGCATGTTCTCAGCAAGCACTTGGCGCGGGCAAACCAGGCATCAATATACTATTAAACTATGGAGCAGACCCCACCATTACCGACATTGATGGTAACACAGCATTACACGCCCTTCTGCAAGGAGACGATTTAGCACTAGGCGTAACACCGCCGGAAGTTGTTGACAGACTTGCCAAAGTTGCTCCAGAAATTCTTAACAGTAGTAATAAATACGGGGAACATCCGATTCATTTAGCATGTCGAAGATGTGTTGATGACGATTTTCACCTCGTACGTCATTTGATTAACCTTGGAGCGGATGCATTTGCCCGTGACACCATGGGAAGAAACTTACTGCATCTGTGTTGTCTGTATGGGAAAGATGAGGAAAACGCCATCATGGCGGACTACCCTACTCTTCCAAATGAAGTTGATTGTCGCGGCAGAACCGTTTTACATTATAAGGTCATACTCACAAAGGAAGTGCCGCAAATTGAGAAGATTCTTCAACTGGACGGATTCAGTAAATATAGTGTCTCGGACGCGTTCGGGTTAACAGCTTTCGACTATGCAGCAAAGAAAGGGCATGTGAAAATGATTGAACTGTTCAAGAAGTACGGCGACAACTCCAAAATACCAGTTGCCGATGGTAAGCCTGTCCAAGGAGATGAGACAACCATTGATCGTCTGCTTTCCCCAATTGTTGTGGAGGCATTTGACGATGTGCTTCCCGAGTCTTTACGACCAATACAGGACGCAGACACATTTTTAAAGGAAATTTGGGAAGCTGGATCTTCGCCAACAAAGAACACTAAGCTCTTCAATGAGTGTAAATCGGTTGTGGAATCCTTTATGCACAATGTGGTTGATCTTATGAGAGAAAAGGATGAAAGGTTTTCTGGGACGTTGATTCAGAATGGTAGTTCGTATGAAGGAACCAAGATCGGGTTTGCTGATGAGTACGACTTTCTTTTGCAGCTTGATGAACTTAGTAATGCTTGCCGGCCCATTGAAACAGGAAATGACCCACCTGGTTACGCGAAAGTTGCGCGCATTCCCCGACAAGAGTTGGGCAAGTATGAGGATCTGTTTGATTCTGAAGGAATCATAAAATGTGAAAAGATCATGTCCCGCTTTAGTCAGATAGCCATGGAGGTCATGCACGACCCTCGTGTCTGGGAATCCAGTGGCCTTGATTTCTTACCACGACTTTTCATCAAATGGAAAGGTCGTCCTTCACTAACGATTACGTGTACACAGCGTCGTCCTTGCACGGTAGACTTACTCTCTATTGATTTTCTTCCGGCGTTGTATTTCAAGAACTGGTTGCCTTGCTGCACACGTGACGACATGGTGCGTCAGCAGGACGACGTGAGAAACACAGGGTGTCATATGATCATTAAACCAGCTGATGTACCGTATTATCAGCATGCGCAGTTCGGAATGCCACGTCACTTCCTGCGAATTACATTTTCAAGAGCAGAAACTGTGCTCTTCAATACTGTCCCGGCGTTCATCAGAAAGAGCTACATGATTGCTAAACATCTTGTCAAAAGAAATGCTCGGATTCCTCTCAGTATTTTGTTCGACACCGGTGATCTACATGAAAGAAAAGCGACCATTATTGGTAAACACAACATAAATTCGTACTATATCAAACAATGCTTGCTCAAAAAGGTGATGGATGACTACCCGGTGTCACCTCCATGTTTAGACGAAGAGGAACAATCTCTGATGACAAGATGGGTTCGAACAATTTTTAAAAGCATTCACAAGTCGTATGAGGATGGATATCTGCCAAGTGCTTTCATGCCGAGCCAAAATCTGTTGCACACATTCAAACCGGATCCTAGCATTGATCGGATGCGACACATACTGTTTCAGCTTGTCAATCACAGCATTGTACAAGAAAGCGTTGCCGCGACAATCACACGCGGAGAGTACAACCAGCGAGATCCCAGTGACCGAGAGATGAGGATGGATGGTAAACTCCAGCTCCTCAAACGGCTGTTGTATGGACCGCAGGATCGAAATTAAATAAAACCATTATAAGTCACGATAAACATATCATTTAACTGGACTGCAGGAATGAGTAATATGTCAAAGCATGTGTAGGTTAATTGAAGGCAGGGAAATAAACTTCGAGATCATATCCCATGTTGCTGATCGCCAGTAAAATTGTCTGGAGACTGCTACTCTATCGACTTGACATAATATATCCGATATTGAGCTACAGTTCCCGTTGTTATGATACCGGCACTAGTAACGGATATTGGTCCTATAGACCACAGGACGAAGCCCAGTTTCAAGTACTTGTGACAGAAATAGTTTCTCCTCAGCGCTGCATTGATGTCGTCATTTTGACGTTTATATCAACTGGCCTTGAAAGTTAAGATGAAAGCTAAATAGTGTAGATATACTTATTATGTGGGTGTGAGAACTTAAGGGCTGCGTAGGGAATAAAGTCCTATTATGTTGTGAATAGTTCTGCTGGTACAGGTAGGAGGCTGTATTGTGTAATAGCGTGTGGGAAGGAGAATTAACAGGTGATCTTGTTAACAGAAACTGTATATTAGTATAGGTGTGTGGCTGCGACTTGTTCCGGGGTCATTGGGATTGAGTGAGGTGCTAGGATCTGTTGTAGAGAAGGATGAGCCTAGACATGATGGTGTATAAGGTTATAGAGTAGGGTGAGCCTAGATATGATGGTGTATAAGGTTGTAGAGTAGGGTGAGCCTAGACATAATGGTGTTTAAGGTTGTAGAGTAGGATGAGCCTAGACAGGATGGTGTATAAGGCTGTAGAGTAGGATGAGCCTAGACATGATGGTGCATAAGGTTGTAGAGTAGGATGAGCCTAGACATGATGGTGTATAAGGTTGTAGAGTAGGGTGAGACTAGACAGGATGGTGTATAAGGTTGTAGAGTAGGTTGAGCCTAGACATGATGGTGTATAAGGTTGTAGAGTAGGGTGAGCCTAGACATGACGGTGTATAAGTTTGTAGAGTTGGATGAGCCTGTTTGTTAGTTTGCATGATTGTATTGGGTGCCAGCCTAGTTTGCCCATCAGCATACCTGGAACTGAGCTTGTATTGTTTTATATGTTTTATATGTATCGTGCTGCTTTGTGTTATATTTCCTTTATTTTGTTTATATTTGCTTTGTATGAAAGTTATATTTAATATGTCAGGAGTATGTTAAAGGTTGTGTTTTAGAATCCGTACAGTCAGTTTGAATTGGAGGTGACGTTGTTGGTGTGTTTGACTTTTTTTGTTATGGCGTTTATGCTAGGTATCTGTTACTATACTATACAGCTATTATACATATTTTATCTCATATTTTGAATGGAATCAACATTACTTATACATTTTGAAATATATTTCTATATTAATTTTATATATACAATGTATTTAATTTTAATATTTAATGTTATTTGTTACTATTTAATGTTATTTTAATATAAAATGAGGGAAAAAGATAAATTCAGATGTGAAAAATAAGTCGGGACTTTAAAGTCGAGAGCCATACAATACTGGGACTGTAGTAGCCTGAGTTTCCTCTGGCCCTGACACCAGACGTAGACATGTTGACACCTAGATGCCCATCTATATGGTGTAGACATCTATATGTCAAAATGTCGAAGTCTGGTGTCAGGGCCACAGGTACATGCTAAATACATCAATCAATATGGTAAGGAATCTCGTAAAACATCTAGATAATAATTGAAATCCTCTGTAATTTGTTTTTATGAAGAATGCTATAACATACAAGTAAAGGGGATTATACAAGGTTCGAGAGATTGGCTCGTTGGTCAGAGGAACGTGTGAGGAGGGGAGTGGTTTTGATGAAAAATGGAAAATTATAAAATACAGGAAAGCATTGGTATATGAAAAGGAAGACGATAATGGAGTCAAGGTAGGTCAGAGGAAGTAGGAAGGAGAATATTTGAAATGTCTTTGTGAGGAAAAGGTAATGCGGCAGTAATTAACAAGTCTTAATCGGAAGTCACTGGTAAACGGAGAACTACTCACAATCGTTTTGATTCATATAATTGTTTTTCATACAGTATCTATATGATATTATATACTTTATGTCTTAAGAATTTACTTCCATTTATGTGTGTTATATTTTTGCTAATTTTCAAATATGCACATTTTATTGTACATCATTTAAGTTTTATTTTAATTCTTGCATAATGTTTTTTTTATTTTTACACCTTTACAACGACTACAAAACAAATGTCAGATGTGGTGCTGAAGATGTTGACCTGTACGGAGCACCTCTCCCATGTTTTTGTTAAGGGCCGTGACTTCTTTCCTTTTAGTTTGTGTCTTATCGGTGCACTTTCGGGTTTAGTCCTGATCTTGTTGACAATAGCGTATATTTTCTATGTTATAGAATAAAACAAATATTATTGTCAGAATTTGACACGTTTAATTGAATTTTACAGCATTTGCAATTTCATGCAGACACAGTTAGTTCGTCATTTAAGGAAATCTGTGTCTTATATAAATCAGCATTCATAATAGAACATGGACATTGCTGTACTTCATGTAAAACACCCATGTGTTCAGATCTACCTCGTCTGATTATTGTGAGTAGTTAACTTATAAAGCTTTGTTTTCTTAGCATGTAAACAGTATAGTTTACCGCAGCTAGAATCCATACACAACGGTAATACTTACGGTGTTAACATATCACAGTTGATTCGGTATTTATGGTTTCAAAAGATGCAACTTGATGAAAACAAAGTTTTTAATTTTTCCCATTACTGTGCCTGTTGTTCGTTGTCAGTCACTTGTACTACTAATTTTGATTGAGGGGATAACTTGGGTGTGAGTTAACTTACAGTGTCGTTGTCAGTCACTTGTACTACTACTTTTGATTGAGGGAATTACTTGGGTGTGAGTTAACTTACAGTGTCGTTGTCAGTCACTTGTACTACTACTTTTGATTGAGGAGATTACTTTGGTGTGAGTTAACTTACAGTGTCGTTGATGAAACAGAAGACGCCTACCCTTCCGAAACACCTGGTCTTACTCTCCTTTTACTTTTTCAAGGAACAACGTATAAAGCTGTCTTTATCCCGAGTTTCCTCTGGCCCTGACACCAGACTTAGACATTTTGACAGATTGATGCCTGTTTTGGGCACCATCATCTCTCAAAATGTCTAAGTCTGGTGTCAGGGCCAGGGGAAACTAGGGCTACTTCATATTATGCCATATTTCTTTTCTTTCTTTTTTTGAGATCAAATTACGGCGTTTACTTTTCTAAGGCCTACCTATTGATGATATGTCAGTTAAATGTCAGTCTAATGCCTTTTTGTATAGTTTAATCGATATTCGTTTCCGACATTCTGATGAAGTGAAATGCTGCATAAAAATAACTATTATCGAGTTCTGCTTGTTTCATTTAAAACCACACATGTACGACAAAGACAGAACAGAACTGATATATCAATAACGATGTTCTATTGTAATCTACCCAAAGCGAAAATTTTCTAATTTATGACATTTGCGGAAATTGATCTTTTCATGACATCACTAGACATATGGAAGTGCCTAATTGTTTTAGTAAGTTACTGCAGAACTCCAGACAACGTAAACATGTTTAACAAAGTATTGGAATTGTTCTTTTTTTTTCAGGAAAACTATAGCTTTGATAAATCATTTCTGAAAAGAAAACCATGCTTTGCAGGACATGCAAAAACAATAATAGTGTCCTGGATTACAACAATAATAGTGTCCTGGATTAAAACAATAATAGTGTCCTGGATTAAAACAAATAGCTGACTAGACCGGGGATTCGAACCCTGGACTTCAGACTGTTATACTGTCGCTCTTTACTACTGACGGACGTTGTTTCCAAACGAAAGTTAAGGGGAGGTTACTATACATACAAATACCTTAAAGTGGGATAGGGATCCTTATAATATCTGCTACAAGGTAACGGTCTGAACCCTCTGGAACTGATAGTCCACATGTAATATAAAATTAATCACTTTGTGACGTAAGATAATTACTTGAAATAAAAAGTAAGAAAACTCCTATCTAATAATTTACTAATTCGATGCAAGTCAAATAAATCTATGTCAGAAGTATTCCGAAACATGAGCAGTGTGTAAACATGTACAGTCAAACCTGTATTAAGCGGCCACTTAAGGGATCAAGGAAAATTGGCTGCATAAGAGAGGTGTATATGATGTGCAGTTTGGTAGTCAATAAATTGCACATGTTCGTTTGTTTAAAACGTTTTATGCGGAACAGACCTGTTATCTAAAGCGGTATGGGTCTTAGTTACACAACCCAATGCATATCTGTGTGTACAACGCGGTATAAGGTGAACCAGATTTCTGTCGCCTGCATTATTTAACCGTTGGGTAGATTTTAATTGTCTGTCTTACCGTTTGTTGTTTAACACCAACCTATACATGCATGATATAATCTGTATGTCGTACAAGGCGATCACGAGGGTGTTTCTCTAGCGGGGTGGACAGGCGCGTAGCTACCATGTAAGCCAATAAGCCCGGGCTTGCATATGATTTTGACAAGTATACGTTTTCATGACGGTTTTTTTTAAATGACGAAAACTGTCTTCTGGAGCCTGCCCAATTACAACACAACAGAATTTTAAAAGATCACGGTGCTTTGTATTTTTTACTTTGTCAGATTGCGCATAATAATACCTTCTATAATGGACGTATATAAAACTAAAATTAATTTTCTTCCATGTCCACAAAATGTTTATGAAACCAGAAGACGAAACTGTGTCGGAGACTGAGTAAAGGTGACAGTGGGGGTAACCTCGCTTTCCAATTAACTCGGATCAGATTATAAGAAAGACAAACCCAATTGCATGTTCACTAATGCAGAAGTATCAAATGCATTTATCAAGATTAGGTAAAAACCAGACAATGTATGTATGGAGGGTGTACAAAGCAATACCGACGGTTAATATTCAGAATTACACTGGATCCACGTAAATAGGTATATATATATATACCAAAAATAGGACTTTTTTCTTGCGGATTTAAACGAGAAAACAGACATCAGGACGTGGGAAATGGCTCCTGAGACGTTCTAGAAAACAGAATTTTCATGGGGGAGACCCCCTAGAGCCCCCTTACAGGAGGGGGAAGACACCCTTTCGTACCCTCCCCCTGCTCGCGCTACGCGCTTCGGGGGGAGCTGCCTTCGGCAACCCCATGTCGGGCTTTCACATGGTAAAGGGGCTAGCTACGCGCCTGGTGGAGGGGGTTTAATATCAGCTAAAGACCAAGGGTGTAGCTAGTTGTAATAACGATATTCAATCTGTAATAACGGTATAGATATTCACAACGTACCTATATCAATTCAATTAGTTTTTTCTGTAAGCCTTACGACTTATAAGATACAAAACACAATATTAATACATATTAACAGGTTAAACAGAGTAACGGTGTAGAGGAGAGTGATAATTGTATGTAATCGTATCACATACATACACACACACAAATGTGATAATACTATAATGACTGAGAGCACTTCTTAAAAGCAAATCTTATATATTTACCAAGATTACACAAATCTTTTACATTATTAACACTTAGCAATTGAACAAGTTTAAACACACTAGGACGACTAAAATAATATGGCGTTAGGTATCTCACCCGTAAATCTGCATAAATACTTAATAGGACACTTAAGGATGAAGTGAAACTCATCCTCAATATCATCAGTATCACATAATGTACAAACACTATTGGACCTAGCTAAATTATTGTATCTTCTTCTTTCAATATTGAGCGTATGAGATCTTAAGCGAATACATGAAATACTGTTTCTATACAACTGATCAATAGGTTATTTCAGGTAGTATTGCAGACCAAACTTATCTACTAAATGCTGATACAATGTTCCTTTTGGGGAATTCTGTATTGTAGACAACATTTCTTGTACATGTATATCATGAAATGTGTGCTCTATTAACTTCTACACAATCTTACTTTCATAGCAGTTATTCCATAAATACCCTAATCCTAACTTATTCAATTCTGATTGTATATTTATAATCCAATCATTATTATCTAACATTCTCTGTTCATAACATGCTTTCAATATAAAAATGTCGGTTTCTTTCACATTAACCCAGTATTTCAATATTTTCATTTTCCGAACAATATACATTGGAAGTCTACCTAATTCGTAATATACAAGGTCATTACATGTATTTTTACCAACACCTAGTGTTTTTTTTACAAAAAAAATATGTATGAACCTTTTCAACTTCTAAAGCTCTGTGAAAACCCCATATTTCACTTGCATACCCCAATACACTGCTTACATAAGTGTCGAATACAGAACATA